AAGTAGTGTATTCTTTCCAATATGAGTACAATAAAGCTATTGCACAGCTGTCATCACATATTGTCACCTGTCTATGTACAAAACAGGATAATTTACAAATATTACATCAAATATACGTCTACTAGCTGAAAACCAACCGTTGTCATGATAGTAACTATAGAACAATGGAATGTATGAAAATAAGATAAAACACAAAGGCCTTTCCTGGTGTTACAAAGCAACATAATAAAAACAATGGTCCAGTGCTCTACCTTGGTGTACAAATCGGCAAGTTACTGAGGCATCAAGTCATCAAAACAGCTTTACTATAGAACTGAACAAAACATATGTTTAAAGGGGGTTATAATGATAAACAACAGGTGTATATCAATCCGGTTACATGTAAGGATCTGGGGGGATTATAATAACATACAAGAGGTGTATCCGATATTTGAAATCTTTACTACTGCAATTGTTGTCTCTACAGATAAAAAGATACACATAAAACAAGAGGCTTAAGAGACCTGCATCGCTCACCTGGCTAACTTAGCCATTCAGCTATTAATAAATTATATTTCAAAACTGACAAATAATTTCTGATATAATTTGGTCCTAGTCTTATGGTCAAACTGAAGTCATATTCACTATTCATAAAACTGCTTAAGACCAAACAATATCCCTGTACTGAAGGTTTTTTAAGAACTTGTAGAATTTGAAAGAATTTGCTCTATATCCTCTATTGGGCCCTGCCCCTCTCTCGCAAAGAAGCCAAGACTTACCATTAATGCAAAACTGATTACCTTCAGCAAAGAATGCTTCAGACCAAATTTGGCAATATTCATTCATTCCTATAGATGGAGCAGGATGTAAGGAATTAGCTGTATTTCCCCAATGGGGCCATACCTCCCTGCAATTCACTGTTTATACACAACTGATTCCCTTCACCCAAGCATACTTCAGACCAGATTTGAGCAAAATCCAATCTTTCCTGCTGGAGGAGTATAGAATTTAAAAGATTATTAGACCCTGCTCCTCTTGCCCAAGGGGACCAAGTCCTAGCATTTATACAATATTGATTTCAAATTCCTATAGGAGTAGGATTTTGATTAATTTATTCTATTTCCCCTATTGGCTCTACTCTGGGCAATATCCATTCAGTCCTTTTAGGATTTATAAGAACTTGCAAAATTTCCCCTTTTGGCCCCTGGTAGTGGCGAAGCAATCACATATATGAACTTGGTTTTCCTTCCTCCTTGGATGCTTCTGACCAAATTTGGTCAAAATCTATTTAGTCATTTATGACTAGTAGCAATCTTCAGTAAAAAGCTGACAGAAGCCATGCCATAGCAATTAGCTCGCCGCTTCTTTGGACTAGGTGAGCTAAAAATATAAAGCAATGCAGAACTACATGTCATGTGATTGTAAAGTATTTGAGAGAAATAAAAAAACAAATCTGAGGATTTATATGTAGCCCTAAAGATATATTGCTAAAGTACATATATCATGTTTATACAGACATTTATCAAATATGTCATGAATCTTGTATCAAAAAATCTATATATAATATCTATATTTGAAATTTGATTTTTTTTGGAAAAATTACTATCACATAACAATATGTAAAGTGTGTGATAAGGAACTTGACCTGAATGTAGATCACTTAATTTCCTTGTGCACTTAAAGGTCACCAATATTGCTTTTACATATATCAGGACTGTGATCAATAGGACATACACCACCCATTTCAACAGTGAAAGCAAGATGTCTATGAAATTAATATTCATAAAGAATTGAATTTTGTGAACAAGTTTCCAAATAAATCATCAGGAAAGTTAAATCTCACAAAAAAAAGTACAGAACAGTACTGAAACTAACTAGCACTACAAAATCACCTCTGTAGAGATCACAATTCACATTGTGAATGTCACGAAAAGTGTCATATCAGAGGTTATGATCATTGAAATCTACTGACCAGTACATTCTACAGAAAGATTTAATGGCCAAAAATCTATTGATATTGGAGTATGGAGACACCTGTTGCCACATCATACTACAGCCTAGCATATATAGATTTAGGATGGTCAAGTTATGCAGTGTTTACACATTGGCCTTTCACTTAGGCAACCTGGGTTCGATTCTCAGATGGGACATGGAAAGGCATGGGGCCACCTGCTAAACCACCTTGATTTTCCCCCAAGTACCCCTCCCACAGTAAAACCTCTTGTACTTCCATCGGGCCGACAAGAGTGATCAATATAATTATTAGATTATTATGTAAATGTCATGAAATTAAAAAGTTTACAGGTTATTTTAAGATACAGATACAAAGACAATAGTTTTGAAAAATGGAAACAATTATTTCACAGTAAAACTGTAGACAATTACTTCACAGTAAAACTGTAGACAATAACTTCACAGTAAAATTGTAGACAGTTACTTCACAGTACAACTGTAGACAATTATTTCACAGTAAAACTGTAGACAATTACTTAACAGTAAAACTGTAGACAATGACTTCACAGTGCAACTGTAGACAATTATTTCACAGTAAAACTGTAGACAATTACTTCACAGTAAAACTGTAGACAATTATTTCACAGTAAAACTGTAGACAATTACTTCACAGTAAAACTGTAGACAATTACTTCACAGTACAATGTACTTGTAAATCTTAAACCATGAAATAGCTAAGATTTAAAACCTTAAATTCCTTGACCATTTCACCCAATAGATTAATTTCCAAATATGTACCCCTCAAAGAGTCATACATACACAATAATACACAACTTCATTTCATATACACACAGTAATATACATATTCCCAGCAATATACATACATATTTGTTCTCTTATACATACAGTATGTAATACTACCTGTCAAATATGAACTCTTAACAAGCATTTACATTACATTTGCTGCCATTAGAACCAATCAAAACTGAAAAAAACCGAAAGTGTCACCATAGTGCAAAATGGTACTTATATATCTGTTATGTTGATTTGATCTGATATAACAAATTTGAAACAGACATGTCCCACCCATGAAAGTAGGACATTCTAAAATTTTACAGTACATGACCAGTAACTCAAAAAGTTTTACTAAGTACCTAATACATAAGTCTACACAACCAACTAGGGTTTCATATTTGCTCATCATTCATGTACAAAGAGGTACATCATACCACAACTAAAAGCTATCACATGAAATCAGCACATCCTAAGATATAATAAAAGCTGACAAACAACTTAGCATCACCTAATTATGAACCTCTCTGATGCTGTCAGACTTAAAAGAATTTGTGGAGAACATGAGGTTTTTATACAATTACAATTCAAAACAAAATATTGTCATCCCTTCCTTATGATCCATATAAAAATATCACAACACAAGCTGTGGTATTGCAGTGAAAGAAGTACTAGCTGCTATGATATATAACTTTGTATGATCTAGATTAAATGATTTCATCAAAGAATCCAAAATAAAAACAATGTTTGTTCTGGTGTATTCAAATAATGAAATTAAATGGAAGAGGCAGACTGCAGGAAAAATATAACAGAATTTAGAGTGCTCATAATAAAACCATTGCAAATTCATTTAACAAATATTTCAGAATCTGGCTTACAATTCTCCAATATTGTTGGTTTTTGTATATTATCAACCTGGAATAGCTGAATAACTAAACAAAAACTTTATCATGTGCTACATTATATCTGCAGTCAATAGTAAGTCTTTTGGAATAAAGATTAATCAAGATATGTTTACTGACTAGTCATGGGGAAAATAGCATCTCATATACATCAAGTACTTTTAATACTGAATAAATACTTAAGGTCTACCTCTTTTCTAACCCACACAAGATGACAGATGTCCTCTTCTGCTACCTATCACAATGCTTTTCCTTCCAGACACAAAATGGGGCTCAGTTCATGAGAGTGTTGGCCCATGTAACCTTAGGTAAAGAGATCCTCTGGATTGCATGTGATGGGCCTCCCATATGTCCTTCAGTGAGGTAGCTATCCTCTATTAAAAGGAGATCATGCCTCTAAATGGCCCTGGCTGTTCACACAGCGATAAATCCAGCAAATAAAGTACAAAAACCAGAGAAATTGCCCAGATATCTAATACTCTCTTTCATATCAATACCTGTAAAACATAACACTTCTATGGTGAGGAATGACAATCTTCATCCAATTTATCATGCTAATTTACACATCCTGTTTTCTCATCATTTATTTCTTCTACTTTCATTTTTCTCTCTCCATTTTCTCAATTTCCACATAAAAAATATAACAGGTAAGCATGCCAGCATGAAATAATGAATAAAAGGACTACTTATCACAAAACTTACTGCTACCAATAACTAAAAGTTCACACTCCTCAAACTGGTTCAGATTTCTCCATCAATCATAACTTTTGGATTATATTTTTCCATCATCATAATATGAATTAATGATGCACTGACCAAACATGGAACAAAAACCTTTCAGAGACAGAGGCATCGTATCACTTTGTTTCTTTATCACCAATTACACAACAATTTTCATATCAACCTATGAAATATAAAAACATCAAGCATATTAAAAATTACCATTTCTTAAATTTATCTCCCATTAAAATCCCACATGAACACAGCTAATCACTAGGTGAAATTTGTGTTGTTAAAGTGTTTAAATGTGCCCATGAGCACTTTATCAGTAAGAGAAAAAGTGAACTAACAACACATGTTCAGTATGTCAGGTTTGAGTACATGAAACATAAACCAACAAAAGTATATTTGGCAAGAAATATACAAAACACTGCTTCATCTTCAAGCCAGTCAAAAACAATGTACCTGTCCCATATTATCAACTTTTTAACTTGAGGTATATTATTGGTATGTCGTTTATCAGAAACTACATTCATGTACAATAAAAATGACACAGTAATGTGATCTATGAATCCTGTTGGTGAGTGTATAGGGTATAGAGTGTGCCCCGTCTACCTATGTAACTGAATCCTGCTGGTGAGTGTATAGGGTATAGAGAGTGCCCCGTCTACCTATGTAACCCGTGTGGATGGATATTACCTTTCCTGTGTGATAATGAAGGTGAGTGTGACAGATATTAGCTTTTATTGCTTTCTGACACCAATGGCTACATAATTCAAAGCACCTGTACTGAATGAAGAACTTATACAAACATGAGAAATACAGACATTTGTAATAACCATATACAAGTACTGTATCTAAAATAAAAAATTGTGTAGCTGAACCCAAAAAAACAAAACTGGGAAAGAAGCACAATAAAATATATCTCCCTGTCAATCATAAAACTAACATATCAAGCTACAGTAAACTGTCAACATCTGGTAGTCCTGTATGAATGAAATAACATACCACACAAACAAATTTTAATAAAAAATGTATCTAACGCTGCTAGGCCTTAAACAAAATATCCTGGTCATGTGACCAAACTTCCTCCAATCGGTGCAATGTCCTTGAGAAACCATTAATCCTGGTAGTACAATGGCAGTGAGAATACAATACTATCTAAATGACTACATGATTTGATTTGGTAACCACTGACATATAAATTAGTAGTGCTGAACCAATGCAGGTACATCCTTGGACCTGGAATTCTGGTTTTAATTTTAAATCATAAAAACCCACATAAAGATAATTACATACAATACCACCGCTTGTTTTTTAATACTTATATATCACAGTAAAACATCAACTTCTTATGTCAATATATCTATCTTTGTGGTCAAGTCATCACATTATCCTCATCTCTAGCAGAATCTGTCGGTAATATCACATTATCTTCAACTGCAAGGTCCTTGTCAACAGCACAGGTGATATCCTGGCTGTCAACCTGCAAGAGATAGTCATCAGATTTAGTTCAATTAAAATTCAAAATCAAATGCATTAGATGTTGTAATTAAATAACTTACATACACTGACAGACATATTAGAGTGATCAGTCCTATAGTTCATTTTCCAAGCATAATACCCATGATATCCTCAAAATGCATTCATATTATGTTTGGAAACTGAAAATACTGTCATTGTATTAAATGTTTTTTTTAAATATCAAATACCTACCCTGTTCTTTCATTATCTTATTCAATTATGTACATCATTACAGCAGCTAAATAATAAATATCATAACCATCCTCCTTAGAATTTTTGTTTTACCTCTATATTTTTTCGTCCTTCCAAATCCATGCAAGCTAACTTCACTTTTTATTTTGCAAATCTGAAAGCACAGTTGATATTAGCAGTTGCTGTTTACTGATTGTAAATCAGATGAAAGATGACCAACCTTTGATTGTCATCCGATGGACTGGTAGCCAGCCCTGAAGGCCTTAGTGGCACTCCATTCAATCAGACAGAAACACCATGTGCCTAGTGTCCCGAGGATAACCAGGATAAGGAGCTGCCAGTGTAACAACAGGTGAGTACTGTAGTAGAATGACACGGCCGCTGTTACAGACTGTAACAAAAACAAAAGAATTTCAACAGAGGAAGGAAATATTTAGTTCTGTCAGTGGAGTTTCAAAAATACTTACACTGTATACTGTATATCATTGCCTACTGTTAAAGTGCTATCAAATGTTTATGACAGGTTAACATACCTGGACAAACTTGAACAGTGCAAATGCCGGGGAACTGTCTTCTGGAAACATGAACCCTAAGATGGAATATATCTGAAAGCAATACAGCAAAACATTGAAATATAATTATCACATAATTTTTTCTTCCAATCTAAGGGAAAATATAGATAAGAGATTACACTGGTTTACTCACAGAAAGATAGATTCATCTAGTTTGTTACACATTATTTTAAGAGCAGGAAAAATCTGAACATTTTACTGACAAATTTAAAAAAAGAGAAATGTCAAATTCTGTCGTTTATATTCTAAAACCAGGATTCTTCTAAACTAATGACATTTTACTCTTTGATTTGAGGACATTCTCGATCCAATAGGACAATCATAGATGTAGTTTTATTGAAATCAGTAAAGAAATATCATCACCATTTTCCTGAAATATGTCAAGAAAGTGGGTATCACACGACAAAGAAAAACCTATATTGGTATTCTACAGACCAGCAATGGATACTGATGGGTTTATTACTGTATAAATATAAACTCACTACAAGGCATTAAAAACTGCTAGAGCATGTGTCTATTAAAAAGTCACATAAATATCTCCTTTCACTAGTAACTACTGGTAGTTACAAACTTGTAAACAAACAAATATCAAATACTAGTGTTTCTATTTCTTAGTCTGGACAAATTATTACGATAGACATGTACCATTTATTGTTAATATTAGACAACAATAGGCTTCATTATCTACAATAATGATAATATGTAATAATAAACATTATTTATCTTACAACAATTGCAAAGCAAGTTTTTCCAACTTATATTAATCACTCTGAGTAGCCCGGATGTAAGTATGAGAGGCGTCTTATTGTGGGAGGAAACCAGAGTACCCAGGGAAAACTCACGTGGTCGGGCAGGTGACCCCTTACCTTATCACATCCATTCTGGGAATCAAACCCCAGATGGCTAGGTGAAAGGCAAATGCATTACCACTGTCCCACCCGACCCCAAATATTACCTACGATATATATCAGTATCCACTCTATTCATTAGATTACATGCCAGTTCGAAATAAGTATCAGCACTACACCAAGAATGTTCGATAAAGTTTAAGCACGTAGGTTGGAGTCCAAATATTTACTTTTGTAACCTATAACATACAATTAAATGTGAAAACCTTACCTGCGTATTAAAACTACTGTCTCCAAAGCCAAGTAAAAAGGAACACAGAATGGCAACATCTTTACTGAAAAACAGATTTCAAAAGAATAATTAGAACAACAAATCACAATAACTTTTTAAATCTTAATTACTATCTGTCCTATATGTTTACAATTTTATTTAAATGACAGACTAATACAGGAAAAATTAATGAATGTAGTTGTGTAGGGTATATATACCCGGTACATACTAAACAAATGGCTATGCCAAAATGTACCCGCATGTAAATTTTGATTTTTGGCAATAGCAGAAAAAACTGATCATGATATACACTTCAGAAAATGATGCACCAGCAGACAGAAGGAAATTGTATAGACCTGCTCGTTAATATCCGTCTGTGTGCTTATATCATTTTTCTTCATTAACTCATTTGTACACATTCAATAACTATTGATAAAATGTTGAACAAACATCAATTGACCACAAAAAATACCAATAACTTTGTATCTATACTTGGTATAATTTACCTGAATGAAATAATTTGGAATAGCTTACATAGAATGACTTAGGTATGCTGGTGTAGCTTACCTGTACATAAAGGGATTTATGTAGGCTGATACCAGACAGAGGTATAATGGTACAGCTTACCTGGAAGAACCAGGTAGAATGGTACAGTTTACCTGGAAGGACTGGGTAAAATGGTATAGTTTACCTGGAGGGACCAGGTATAATGGTACAGTTTACCTGGAAGGACTGGGTAAAATGGTATAGTTTACCTGGAGGAACCAGGTATAATGGTACAGTTTACCTGGAAAGACTGGGTAAAATGGTATAGTTTACCTGGAAGGACCAGGTAGAATGGTACAGTTTACCTGGAAAGACTGGGTAGAATGGTATAGTTTACCTGGAAGGACCAAGTATAATGGTACAGTTTACCTGGAAAGACTGGGTAGAATGGTGTAGTTTACCTGGAAGGACTGAGTAGAATGGTGTAGTTTACCTAGAAGGACCAGGTAGAATGGTGTAGTTTACCTAGAAAGACTGGGTAGAATGGTGTATTTTACCTGGAAAGACTGGGTAGAATGGTACAGTTTACCTTGAAGGACCAGGTAGAATGGTGTAGTTTACCTGGAAGGAATGAGTAGAATGGTGTAATTTACCTGAAAGGACTGGGTAGAATGGTACAGTTTACCTGGAAGGACCAGGTAGAATGGTACAGTTTACCTGGAAAGACTGGGTAGACTGGTGTAGTTTACCTGGAAGGACTGAGTAGAATGGTGTAGTTTACCTAGAAGGACCAGGTAGAATGGTACAGTTTACCTAGAAAGACTGGGTAGAATGGTGTAGTTTACCTGGAAGGACTGAGTAGAATGGTGTAGTTTACCTGGAAGGAATGAGTAGAATGGTGTAGTTTACCTGGAAGGACTGAGTAGAATGGTGTAGTTTACCTGGAAGGACTGAGTAGAATGGTACAGTTTACCTGGAAGGACCAGGTAGAATAGTACAGTTTACCTGGAAAGACTGGGTAGAATGGTACAGTTTACCTGGAAAGACTGGATAGAATTGTACAGTTTACCTGGAAAGACAGGATAGAATGGTACAGTTTACCTGGAAAGACTGGGTAGAATGGTACAGTTTACCTGGAAAGACTGGGTAGAATGGTACAGTTTACCTGGAAAGACTGGATAGAATGGTACAGTTTACCTGGAAAGACTGGGTAGAATGGTACAGTTTACCTGGAAAGACTGGATAGAATGGTACAGTTTACCTGGAAAGACTTGGTAAAATGGTATACCTTACCTTGATGGACTAAGATATGTTGCTGCAGATTCAGATGAGGTATGATTGAATGTTGAATCACTTGGCATGTTGATGAAGATGAGGAAAAAGCACACCATATGTAAGACATATCCCAGCACCACTATAGGGTCTCGTCCATACTTGTTGGTCCTCTTCCCAAACAGTCCAAACATGGCGCCACCTATTGGATCATCCATGTTCAAAATTGATATTTCAAACAGTACTTCAAATTCAAGCTTTATTATCTAATTTTTCAATCCCTGAATACATTTTTCACAAGTGTAGTTAAAAGTCATCAGTATAAACTGTCACTGCTCCAATACTTCCAATTTAAAACAACTTACCTAAAATTTCTCCTACACCAATAAAGATCCCTGATATTCCAATCAGCCCTTTGGAGTCATCACCAAAATGTGTATTGTTGGAGATACAAAAACCATATACTCCGCTGAAGAATGTCAGTTCTACACCTGTGTGGTAATATAACAAAGTGACTGCTTAATTTATTATGATACTGCAATTAAAACAAGCTGGTCCCCTGATGAGGATTTCATTTGTTCATTAAAGCAAAGGTTACATGACGATGGAGCTTGAATTTTAGCATAACATCCAATTTCTTAATTTACATAAAACAGTGGCAAATACATTAATAAAGATCCAAGTGCTGAGTCATGGATGAAAAATGCTCTTAGAAGGTAAGCTTTATAAACTTATCATTGAAGATTTTATGCAATCTGATTGATGACAGCAGCCATGTAACGTAATATTTGTAGGCATTGACTTATTTGTCCCTGTTGTTTATGTTTATCAATTATCTGTGACCTGATAATGCCTTCAACAGGGAGAAGTTTTTTTTTTCTACTTTGAATGAAATCTTACTTAGCTGTTTTCCGTAATGCAGCTGGTAGTTTTAGTGAGGAGTAGGAAACTGTGACAAGTGTTACTTATTTTTCGACAGTAAAGTTGGAGCTCAATCCGACTGGTGAACTTGAGAAGTTTGAAATAGGTGTTGCATAGGAAAACCATGATTGCACAATCATTTTACAAAATGGCCTCCCTGACTGCCGTATCGAAGTTCTGACAAGGTAATAAAATAACAACACTTTGTTGGCTACCTTTCCTTAACATTCCCACCAATTTTTAGCTCAGTGGCACCATTTGAACTGGCCTGATGAAGACTTCCATCTAGAGGTATAACTATAAGTAATAGGCCAATAAATGACACAGCCATCTCAATAGTGCCATTTGCTGTGAATGAAAAACACTCTTTATCAATAAATATCAGGGATACATTACCTGTATAGGCTATGGCAACGCTCAGCAAACGCATTTCACGGGATTTCATAAGATGAAAAGACCTTTCTGAAAATAGATGCATTACGATGTCATAACCAGACAATATGAAATCAGCCCTGCCTAAGAACGAGTAAAATGTGGTCAATACTAGGAGATGCAAATCAGTTGTTTTTATATCCTTAAATCATTAAAAACTGTTTTGAGATGTACTTTTGTATTTTGTCAAACTAGAGACATACGTCAAAACATCAATAAGAAATCAAATACGCTTTTATCCTGTGTGGTTAAAATCTACTTTCTTGAAGATGTTTTTGGCATTCTGGTTTTTTAACCTATTGCTATGTCAAAAGTTGATTACATATGCAGTTTGTTGTTTTTGTTGGATTCTAATTTGAACCACTTTAAATGTCATTATACTATACCATAACATACACACTATGAATAAACATTTTCTAAATGATATCACTATTTCAACTCATCTACACCTGATCTAGTAGGTACTGGTCATCACCAGATATGGTTTAATGCATTTGATGTTTACTTTGTGTTGAAGTATCAAAACTTTGAATACTGTTTTGTTACTTTCCCTTTTGCGCAATACTTACTAACAGCAGACAATGGACCTTCTGATTGTGTACCACTGAAACACAAATAGAGTGAAAATGACAACAGTTTTAAATATCACTTTTTATATATTTATATAACACTAAAAAAATCCTTATGAAAATTTGTGGTGCATTTTCTTACAACTGTGACAAACTGAAACCACACCTCCTTGACAATTCTAAGTAGAAGTATGCATATATTTAGGGCTGGATCTGTGAGAATCGTCGATATATAATCTTGATTGTGTTATTTTAAGAGATGCACATACTTGCATCTTACATGCTATGTCTCATAGAAAACAGCAGGAGGGTCTGTGTCTCTCAAACAAGAGACCCATAGACCTTAACAGTATAAATACCTATATATGAAAGAGGCCAAATACGTCTAAAATAAACTGGTCAACTATTCTACAGCTTACAAAGAAGACATTTTTGGTTCATGAAAACATTTTTTCAAACTTGAAATCATATTCATACAAGCAACTACACAAATGCCATTACTGTGAACATATTGCTTTGAAAAAGAAATTTTAAGATGTCAACTCATTTGACCCTAGGAACCTTAAACACAGGTCAAGGTCAATTATTTGAGTAAATTGGTAGCCCTTCATCCACTCATGTTAAAGAACTAATATCAACAACCTGGACCTTTTCAATATCGAGAAGAAGTTGTTTGAAGATTTTAACACATTTGACCCTTGTGACCTTTAATAAATGAAAAGGTTGATAACATGAACAAAATTGGTAACCATTCATTCCAGCATGCCACAGGCCCAATATCAGTATCCTAAGCCTTTTGGTTATTGAGAAGAAATCGTTTAAAAGATTTTGACACCTGTGACCTTGAAAAATGGTGAAGGTCAATAATATGAACCAAATTGGTAGCCTTCAATATGAGCACTTTTGGCCTTTTGGTTGTTGACAAGAAGTCTTTTTATAAATTCCTTTACACATTTGTCCCCTGTCACCTTGAAAATGGATCGTCATTCATTTTTACAAAATTGGTAGCTCTTCCTCCCTGCCAATCACAGGCTCAATATCATCACCATGGATCTTTTGTTTATTGCGAAGACATCATATAAACATTTTAACACATTTGACATCTGTAACTTTGAAAGTGGGTCAAAGTCCTTCATTTTTAACAAAACTTGGTAGCCCTTCATCCAAGCATATAACAAGTCCAATGTCAGCACCATTGACATTTTGGATGTTGAGAAAAAGTCATTCAAAGATTCTGACATATATGACATGTGACCTAGAAAGTCAGTCAAGGTCATTCAATTTAACAAAGATGTCATTTGAATGGAAAGTTTATGCATGACGGACAGTACACAGCAACTCACAAAACACAATGGCTATAGGTCATCCTAAAAACCTGGATGTTTAAGCAAATACCATTAAATATCTACATCAATTTCAATGCAAAAGCCTGGATATTTGTCCAATAATGGCAAATGTTTTCATTCAATGTAATATTCCAAATAAACTATCAAAGGTTAAAAGCATGATTATGTCACACTTTTCATACCCAGTAAGCACATACTACATGATAGAGGTAGGATCACGACCACATTTAAGTTTTTACTATTGTATGTTTTATCATGCATACCTGGAGTTCAGATTGATGAGGTTTTCTGCGTCTGTGTTGCGCCTATTACGTAGGGTAAGAAACAGAAGTACGCCAACAAGAGCAGCCCCACTTAAACCAGCAAACAGTTGAAACCTCTCGCTACTGTCAATGTTTTCTCTTCCTTTCAGCACATAGTAACTGTAAATATTTCCTATCAGCAAGCTGTAATAAAGAATAATTACCCCCTATAAGGCTTTACAATATAAATCACAATGTAATTACATGCAAGTCTTTCATTGGTAGGTTAAGAAGTCAAGAAAACCCTACATATATGAAAGAAAAAATCCAATTTTTTTCTACAGAAATAGAGTGGTAATAAACTTAAACTGCCAAGATCAAAGTTGGACACCTCTTGGCCATTTTAATTGTTCTGATCAGTCTCCAAATATTGAAAAGGCAATAGTAGGGACCAAGGAGAATACATAAGTGAAAATGGTAAAGATCTGTAAAGTACTTCTCAAGAAACAACAATAACAAGAATTACTTAAGGGTCTTTGGAGGGTTATATAGATGATCAATGGATGAAAGCAATTTAAACAACTGAGCATCTGTGAAAATATACTCAGTAGTTTCCATCCAAATCAATAAACTTACAGAACTGTTGATTTCATCAAAAACAAGGAATATTGTCTATTTTTGTTGTGTAGTTCGTGAACGTAGTCAAAGCATCCCTGTAGTAGTATATGTACTAACCTGCATTGAAGTAGTGCCCAAAATATTCCACTATTTCGGGAAACTGTATTGGAATCTGAATTAATCGTGAGAAAATTTCCCTGGGCTGTCCATAAAACTAAAATGCAAAATTACAGCAAAATTAATTTCTGAAAACTCAACTTTAATGTACGATTGTAATTGCAATAAAATCCATAACATTTACCCTTGGGAAACTGTCAATGAAACTGGTCAATATGTGCAAAAAATAGAATACATTTAGGTTTTAAAATAAAATATGAAAGTCTGAATTGGGTTTCTTAATCTTAGGAAAGTTTAAATGCAATCTGACAGTATTTCTGAATGAGAAAGATAAGAATTTTTTCAAAGAAAAAATATGGCACAGGTAATGAACACATCTTCAAGTCAGCACTTCGAGAATTCTGTCCATTTTAACATAAGTGTAATTCTTTATATTACATAACATGTGCTTTACACAAAATATATTTATTATTACACAAATCAAATGAAATCTTTAAAAAAGATCAATGATAGTACATTTGTAATATTGGACATTGTATATGTACATTGTACAAAATATGTGATTGGAACTAGTAAGGATTTGATACCTTATATATTGTACCTGTGGTCTGATCTATAGATCTTAACACATTGAATCTGTGACTTGTGATAACCTAAACATTTCATCTTAATCACACCAATTCACTAAATGAGTTATTCTCATTCTATAGCAGGAATAGTTGTCTTCAAATTAGTCTATACTAACTAATACTTACTTGCTGCTCCAAGGCCCACCAAAACAGACCCTGTATACAATGCCCATGTCATCGGCTTCAAGAAGGACAGGATAAACAAACTGTCAACAAAACATGATAGGAAACAGTTTCTCTCAATTTTAAAGGGACAGAGTTCTGATGTCCATCAGCTCCAGGCTAATATCTTTTTCAGTTACCATCCACACACAAGTTTAATTCATAACATACAACATTACAATTAACATTACCATCCTTATCTATTGTGTAAGGAATAAATGTAGGAAGTGGTACTTACAAGTAAAGAATAGCACCCAAAAACATGGTGTACTTTGGACCTACAACACTGACTATGGGAGGAGCAATCCAGTTTGCAGCTGCAAAAACTGCATATATCACACCAAGGCTGTGAAATACAATAACACAATGTACATCATTTGAGACAGATTCATTTCATTATCATAACATAATATTAGCTTAGCAGATAATACTAATAAGTGTGAAATGAACTAACAAAAGTATGAACAATGCATTTGAATATCAGCAATAACTCTAAGGACAATTTAAGAGTAGTAAATCTATTTCTTCACAATATTCAGTTGCAAGTCATTAATATATCTTATCTGCCACTCCAGAGTTTCCAAAAACACAGTTTAGCATTGTTTGTTTCAGTTTAATTTGTCACAATAAATAGATAAGAAAATGGAAATCTATATGGCTAAAAATCTTCATGGCAGAGACCAAAAGCATCCGGACAATGGTAGTAACTTTAGCAAAATATTCAAGGACAATATTAATAGTAGGTTTAAACCTGATAGAACCATCTCCAGTAAATGTTCCATTGGAATCCTCTCGAGCACTCTTCAAAACAGCAGTCTGAAAAAGTAATTGATATAACAACATTCAGAGATGTGGACTTCATTTTCCCAAACACTACACACTATGATACTGAAGTTGTTAATAAAATAACTGATGGAATAGCATTTAAAGATGCTATATAACAAAATAAAATTAAGAGCAGTGGTCACTTTGTATTTGACATAGGAGGAATTTTGACTTCAGTCCTTTTAACACCAGGCAAGTCTCGAAACAATATTTAGAGACCTTTGACCTGTCCAGCTAACCTAAATCTGCTTTTACTATTTCTATGTACACACGTCAAAATTAAAGTTCATCAGCCTAAATGAACATCCTTACATATGTAGTCTGTCAAAATGTCAAACGTCACGTAGAACAAGAGGAAACTGGATAGTTTCAATAGGACATTATGTTTTGTCAGAATTTCAATCCTTTAAAGTGACCTGACTTTAAGCGAAGTCAAGCCAATTTGTACAAAGTTGCACATTCGAGTCAAAATTTCTCAGATGGGGTACTCAATATTTTTAACGTATTGCGTGACATGATTGTGGGGTTTATAACCCAGATACCCATTATAGATGACTGGGATCTTATTTTGCTAATGTAACTTGTATCTTCACAAATTGTGAAACAAGTTTTACACGTCGAAAAAGGGGCGATTTGACTATCTCATGTAAACATTGGTGCATTTTAAGGTGTTCGTTTATCTCAATTGGTTATGAATATAATAACTGCAGACGCATCAAAGTCACACTTACTTCTGACATTCCAGCTGTCTGAAACGCTGTAAATAGAAACATGAATGCAAATCCTACAAGTATTATATTAACCAGCCTAACATCGTATACACCTTCTTCCGCCATCTTGTTCAAAATAAAAGTGTCACATGATTTTTACTATAGGCCGAATAAAAACGAATATTTGTTTTTCTAATAATATGATCAGAAATATTTATTGTCATTCTAATACTTATTTAATTGATCTATTTTAACATTTTTAACAATAATTTTCTATTTGAACGACAAAGTAAATACTTTTGCTTTGGCCATTAATCTAAGTAGAAAATACGCTCGATATCCAAATGCTTCCAATACAAACGTACAACTGAGGCAGATTTCCGATATATGACGTCATTGTCGCATGAGCGCGAAGGGGAAGCGTTGTACCCACGTTGCGTGACAAAGGCGGAACAATATTGGGAAGTTTTAGGCATTTACTCGATAAATTTTCATCGGTTTGTATTGATAATATTCTACAATGAGTTATGGTCGAGGACCGCCCGACATTGAGGGAATGGCATCCCTTAAAGTGGACAATTTGACCTACAGAACGACGCCGGAAGATCTGCGGCGTGCTTTTGAAAAATATGGCGACGTTGGAGATGTGTACATTCCCCGCGACCGATTCACTCGAGAAAGTAGAGGATTCGCCTTCGTACGTTACTATGACAAACGCGACGCAGAAGACGCACTGGATAGTATGGATGGCGCTATCATGGATGGAAGGGAACTGAGAGTACAGATGGCGAGATACGGACGTCCTAACGAATCGCACCGGAGTAGGGCACCCCAACGCCGGAGCTATGGGTATGGACGGTCACGGTAAGGGTTCAACAACAGCACCGTTTACTGATCAATAACTTTATTCTATCAATAGAACAATCGTATTTGAGATGAGTACAGTTACAATAATAGATTTTTTACCTTACGATATAGAAGAGATTTGTCATTAATTTTAAAATAAAAAGAACGAAAAACATTACAAGGATGATTTCGTTTATACAATGGAACTGTATGTAGAAAATCATTGTTAAAGAAGTGAGATCAGAATAGACCGTAATATTTTTTTCATTTTACTATTTTATTTTTCAGAAGGTCAAGATCAAGATCTAGGTCTCGGTCAAGAGGAAGAAGATCACGGTCACGATCAAGGAGGAGGCGTAGTAGGTCACGATCTCGTAGTCGTTCTAGGTCAAGGAGTTACAGCCGTAGTCATAGCAGGAGCAAGAGTGTTAGTCGCAGCAGAAGCAGATCAAGGGACATCTCTAAGTCGCCTTCAAGGTCACCAAGTCACAGAAATCATGATGATGATTGTGGTGACGACTGAAATATTCATCTTGATACCATCAATAACAAGTCAAAGAATGATGACCAACATTCTACATAGCTTATCCTGTCCATATTGACTGGCTGAGCACATACTATCATTCAAGCTGATCTTGTGACAGTGAAAGGTTACTATCACCAGTTTTATAGATACATTCATCCACACACATCGTTAAGTCATTTGTTTTTAATAAAGTTCATTGCTAAAAAAATGGAATAAAATTGAGGAGAGTAGTGTTCCATTACGATTTGGCGATTTCAGAAGTTTGTGCTTGGAGTATCTCCAAGTTGAGAAATCAAATGACTGAATAAAATGCATGTATTCTAAGTAATGTGAAAAGATATTTGAGAAGAAAAATGCTGAATGCTTTGAACTGTTTTAGAATTGTGCAACTCTTCATCCACATTTTTATTGTAAATAAATCCTTCAATCATTTCCATTAACACATGATTTCTTCTATTTCACATGTGCTGTAGGAGCAGTAAGGTGTTAGTTATGCTGTGTGCTGAATACAGCTGAGAAAGAGGGGCTTGCAGAGTGTACTGCCAGGGGTTCGAAATCCTGCCGTAGCAGTTGCTGTATTTGCTCTGCAGTCCGGAATGTTGCTGGTCATGCTCGGGTGGCAGATCCTGTTAGCTGTTTCTTCTTGACTCCAGAATTTTATTTCCCAAAAAATTGAGAAAAAGACTAAATCAATCTTTAGTAATTTCATTTTTTTGATAACTAATCTATTAAAGAAAGAAAACTATTGATATTTCCACATGAAAAACGGAAAAAGAAAAATCTTTGATCATATGATGATTATGGCTATTCCAATAGTATCATCTTGATTTCTTTGCATTGAAAATGTCCAAGGAGAAATTTTTGTCATACCAAAATTCTTGGAAATTCTGAAGCACAAACAATTACACTTTTTGCAAAAAAGAGGGAACAGAAATAAAATTGAAGCCCATTTTCTGTTAGCATTTTCGTGACCTGTCTTCATTTATAAAGGAAAAGGGTATTTGTATCTTGGATTTTGAGAAAACCAAAATGCACATTGTGCTCTAGCTTAGTGGAGACGGCAAATGTTTGCCATCTCTGCTTGTTAAATGGGAAAGACCCAGTATGCAACACTTCCAAAGAAAATCCAGCAAAGCAAGTTCCATGAATGTTGTCTGGTTTTGTGATGTTTCAGCTGCTTTATTATGAAAACAACCATGAATGTAATGGAGGGGTGTCTGACCTGATGCAGTATGGGTCTGCTAATTTGTTACAGGTTTATTTGAACCTGACCGTTTCCATATCATCCCTATACTTTTGCAACCAGGCCTCTCACCCCAGTCCAGCCCCCTTGTTTTTAAACATTTTACCATAAATATAACTAAAGTCTATGTTGATTTTGCTATGTTTTGCGGATGTCCTTAGCACTAGTATCCCGAGACAAAGCCACCTTGTATGCTTGACTTGTATTTGTACAGACATCTTGATACCTATCTTACCTGGAAAGATTGGGGTTGCGATACCATCATCTGTTCTAGCTATGAAATTTGTAAAATTAAAGGCAAGAACTGGTGTTGTGGAAAAGAATGCATCTCTTCTGAATGTGATATCTGTATTGCTTTGACACTTGCTAAATTTCAGTTTGTTTATTTTTAGACCACCATCTTCACATTGCTTGTTTTTAAACAATTCTTGTTATTGCTAATTCTATGTACATGATGGGTACTTAAATTTCTGTATAGGTTCTGCTTGGTCCCTAGTTGTGCATTATGTCACGTTTGGACTGATTCATAAAGCAGAATTGCCAACAGGCAGCCATCTTGGATTTGGTGCTAATGGTTTGTTAGGGATCATTTTCAGATTTCATAAATAGGTTCTCATTGGTCTGTTATACTATTCTGGTTTTAGGACTGATCAGAACAATAAAAAGACAAAAATGCAGCCATCTAGGATTTTGACAATAATAGTTTGTTACCAGTCATTTTCAGATTTCATATGTAGGTTTCCATTGGTCTGTTCAGAAAAACAAAATGCTGAACAATGAAAGTATATCATTTCCTGAGGATAATGGATGCATCTTGGGTAGGTTTTCCCCGGTTTACTTGTGCTCTTTTGTGACGGTTCAGAAAAACAATGGTCAACAAACCAGCATCTTGGATTTTAAAAAGATTGCTGCTCTTTCTTCGACCAATTTTTGATAACAGCATGAACAGAGGAAAAAATAGAAAAGAGCAACTATCAAATTTTTAAAGAATAAGAGAAGTAGTGGCAGGCACCAATATTTTCTCTGGGAATCTAATTTTTCTTCTTTTTTTTTTTATATATGTATTCCCTCCAAACAAGTTGAGGGGAGTAGGGTATATAAGCATGACTGTCTGTTTATCTATCGAGGGCCTTTCAAAACTGAACTCTATAGCACAGGAAAGAAAGTTGTTTCCAAAAGTCCAACATCATCGACATTCAGATTGTGATTTTCAGCACCAGTATACTTTTATACACAAGTCTGACTTGTACAATTTGACACATGGTTATAAACCATTCTATCATCAACCAAGAAGATATCGTTAAAAGTAAACATTAAACAGAAAAAAATTATTCCGACAGAACCAAACTTTTGCTGTTGTGTCCATTTTAATGGATAGGTTCAACATCTTGACCTGTTCCCCTAGAAATGTCCAATACAAATCAAATGCACATGCAACAAGTTTCAAGTCCTTACATGATACAATACTTACACAATGCAATTTGAAATGTGTAGTTTTCTATTCTACAGACTGACAGAAGTGACCATTTTGGTACACAAGGCATTAAAAATGAGGTATGACTATGTATTTGGTTATCTTCCAACAAATTCTGAGAGACATTTGGCTATTAAATTGGGTTGGGGGAAATGGCAAAGAAATTTTACTCTAGTCAAACTTTGAGAATAGTTCTGTTTTGAAATGAATTGCAAAATGAAATAAGTTTAATGACTGTTAGAAGAGATTGTGAATTGTGATCTTTTCAATACTCTGAAAGAAACTGAAGACCTGGAAAAAACTTATGGGGACGCTATAATAGAGATTATTCATCTGTGATTTTCAGACCAAGAATTGAATAGAATTATATGTAGGTATTGCAATGATGCTGCTTACTTATTGAATGCTTGCATTGGATAATTTTTTTTGGAATTGTACATCAAGGTTATTACTAAAAATAGAAAATGGGGCCCAGATCATAATTTAAAAACTAATACTATATAGAGAGAGACATCAATTTCAAATGCTGGTTACTTGTGGCGAATGCTTGCTTGGGACTGCTTTTTCTTGTCAAAGGTATAACGTCAAAGACTTTACAAAAAAAAAAAAAAAAAACACGCATACCTTCAAAATATATGTGAATTTTGCTGATATTATTGTGAAATTGATGGTTTCTTGGCCCACCGTCTGTTGAAATACCCGTATGTATGGTCTGTTTGTCCATCCTTAAAGAATTTGTTATTGCTATTTCTTGAGAAGTACTGGATGAATCTTTATCAAATTGCATATGTAGGTTCCCCTTGGTCCCTAGTTGTACTGTCTGGTATTGGGACTGATCAGAAGAACAAAATGGCCGACAGGCGACTATCTTCGAGATTTTCAATGACGTTTGCTATTGCTATTTATTGAGAACAACTCGATGGATCATTATTTAATTTCACATGTAGTCTCCTTTTGGTCCCTAGTTTTGTCGTCTGATCAAAAGAAACAAAATGGCTTCCAGAAGGCCATTTTGGATTTGGCAGGTAAAGATTATCATTGTAATTTCTGCAAAGGGATGTTCAAATGTTTTATCATTAAGCAAAAACCAAAGAAAAGATACAACTTTCAAATAGCAAATATAGATCGAACAATGGTGGGTGCCAAGACACTCTAGGATCTCTTGTTGTGAAGTACTAGACGGATCATTTCCCAAATTTCATATCTAGGTTCCCTTTGGTCCCTAGTTGTACCAATTCGGTGTGATGAAATCACGTGTAGGTCTCTTTTGATCCCAAGTGTCTGTTTGATGTTCAACCATAGGCATGAAGTTGTTTTCCTAAATGGCAGTTCGATTCGACTGTATTTGGAAGAGTTACTGCCACTCGTTCTCATAATGTTGATCTTAGCTCGGTGGCAACCGATTTCTTTCAAGCTTGGTAGCCATGAATCTCCATAAAATACATTGATGTGTTCTTCCTACACAGCAGCTCGATTCAACTACTTTTGTAGGAGTTGTTTCCCATTGTTCTATTAGAATTTAAATTTTTTAGGTCATCTGACCCGAAGGGTCGAGATGACCTATAGCCATCTTGCTTCGTCCGCCGTGCGTCGTCCGTAAACTTTTCATACAAAAAACTTCTCAAATACTAGAAGGCCTAGGGGGCTAATACTTGGCCCATATGCTGGCATGGAGCCCTACAAAGCTTGTTCAAATGAATGACCTTGACCCACTTTCAAGGTCACAGGGGTCAAATATGTTAAAATATACAAACGACTTCTCAATAAGCAAAAGTCCATGATTGCTGATATTGGGCTTGGAGGAAAGGCTGCCAAGTTTGTTCAAATGAATGACCTTGACCCACTTTCAAGGTCACATGGGTCAAATATGTTAAAATATACAAACGACTTCCTCTCAATAAGCAAAAGTCCACGAGTGCTGATATTGGGCCTGTAGGATGCTTGGAGGAAGGGCTACCAAGTTTGTTCAAATGAATGACTTCAACCCACTTTCTAGGTCACAGGGGTCAAATATGTTGAAATTTTAAAACAACTTCTCAACAACCAAAAGGCTCAGAATGCTGATGTTGGGTCTGGAGGATGCTGGGATGAAGGGCTACCAAGTTTATTCAAATGAATAAAGCCCACTGTTTTAACAGCAGACTCACTGTTGTTAGAGTTTGGCTTGCGTTTTATCAGATGACCGTTAAGGCCCATGGGCCTCTTGTTTATGAATATTTCCTTCTGCAATTCGTCATCAATTTCCATGAAAATTTGTTGTTTTATAACCATTACAGTGTACATGAAATGATGTTTTCCTTACTGATTTTACTAATTTTGAAAGAGTTATTCCACAAGCACACAGAAACGCGCGCATATCTTGTCCTGTTATCTCCTCCTTTTCCTCTCTCCTTCTCTTCTCCTTCGTTGCACTTCGTAAGCTTCAAAACCACAACATGGAATTATGTTCTTGTGAAAAACATATTGATTCGGTAATATCACAAAAAAGCTTAAGCCCTTTGTTCTTAACATTTTTATCTTGCCCACAGATTTCTTTCGGTTTTCCATCCATCACTTAAAATCTCGGTACGATTTAATTCAACAAAATATATAATACTGTCTATCTCTAAACATTGTGACATATTGCTACCATTTCCAGATTTGTGTTTTCAATACAACAAATCCTGAATATTTCTTTGGCATGGGACGAACGTAAATTAGTCTTGTTGTCCATGGTCCGTTGTCACTGGTCTTGTTATCGCTACTCCCCTGAGGCAGTCCCTTCCCTGACAGTACGTATGTCCGTTGGTCACTAGTAGTACTTCTATAACACCATCAGAGAAGTTCAAAATCAAGTGATGCGGTCCCTAGTTGGTCTCGACTGACGTTCAGCTTGATACGTTTTCAAGATGACTGCCGTGACATCAATCTTGTTTTAACTATTATTACTATAGTATACCTTTTCTCGAGAACATTTCTAGCACACTATCTCCTGTAGGATCATGCAACTTGGTCACCAGATACATCATGGAAAGCAGGAGTTTATCGTTGAAAAGCATGTAATTTTGACACATATGGCAAGGGAGTGTTGTTTGCATAAACAAAGTCACTGTGACCTATATTTTAGCCTTGCTCAAAGAAAAACATGTACATATATAAGCGTATCTTCTTTCCTGTTTCAAACTTGATCTCTTGCCTTTTTTCCCTGCATATCTCTCGCTCTATACCATTTAAGACGATCATATTCAGGGTAGAAGGGCTTCTTCGGTAAGAGGAGTAACTTGCGGTGTGATAAGGTCAGTGACCGTGCCCATTTTACAACCGTGTACCCATTCAATGCAAAAGCTCTTTCCTCAATATTCAATATTCCAAGATGGATGTCAAGATCCATGTTACCACTCGTTTAACATTTCACTGGTAAATCGTTTTGTCTTAATCACGTTAGTTGACTGGAATTGCAGTAGAAAGTGTCTCATCGAAGTGGAGGTCAAATTTGTATATCTAAATTTCCTAAATGCGAACTATTTATATACAGACTTTACCGTAAGTGAGGGGGGAGGCATTGATTTCAATATGAAAATTGTAACCAAAACCGATTTTCCTTTAAATAAACATTGTCGTACTCATTGCAGCGTCTCCTTTTGTGTGTGGTGCCGTACGCCAAAAATCAGGATTAACCTGGGGATGAAGTTAATCTTCTTGATGAAGTCACATGTTTTGGTGATTTGATAAGCTAGTCAAACTGATCCCTTATTTCTAGAAACTAGTAATGTCTTTTTGAGCCAGACTTTTTAAATTGATATAGTACTTCCTGTTTTGTAAGTCCAATCTAGAATATGAGTGGTCCCTACAAGTCTAAAAAAAATATTGACGTATTTTTTTTTCGATTTGGAAGGAGGGGAGGGGAGATGGATCAGCATGAAAGTGACTGTGTTGGATTGTGACAATTGAAATAGTCTACTCCTTTCGGTCCTCGTTGTTACTAATCTAATAATATAATGCGAAAAAATGGCTGACGGTTGACAATGTCAGGTTTTAAAAGCTTGAAAAATACTGAATGGTTATAGATTGCATATATTTATATTTTGGAACTGATTGGAAGAACGACACGGGTAACAATCAGGGATTTATAAAAAAAAATGTTTTATTGATAATTGTCAAAATTTAATTTATTTTTCACTGTGGCCCCTGGTTTCGCATGTTAAATTTTGTGACCGATCTTAAAAACATGTAGTTTACAGGCGGCCGTCTACAAGCTCAAAGTTTGTTAATGCTATTTCTCGGGGAAATGCTGGATTTAGAAAATTATTTCATTTTGTTATTTTTCTATAAGCTTTTCTCATATATCATGTGTTGGTTCCCATCGTTTCTTAGTTTTGCATGCTTTATTTTGTGACTAATTTGTACAGAAATGGACTTTGGAAAATTCCATATGGTTTAGCTTTTTCTTTAGAAGAGATGGATGAATAGTTTCAATTTTCATAAAAATTTTATAAAGTCACATATTTGATGATGTTACTACAAGATTAACACAACCGTTATTGAAAAGGTGCAACAAATAATTGAAGAAAAAGAAAGGATGATATCTAACACGTAAAGAACATGTAAACACACTGGTGTGCACCCTCCATCTCTTCTAGTTGTTTGTTCATATCTGTCTTCTGATTGTCTTGGCGGGGCACCGGGGCATGTAAATATGATTTTAAAATTCATTTTAAATTTAAGATTTTATGAATCTCACTTAAGAAATGTGACCGAATCAAGACCCTGGCTGCTTAGGGAACGTCAAATCTCAACATACACATCTTGTACAAAAATGATACATTTTATACTCAATAGATCCCTTCCGTTGGTTTTATTTCATGTAAAAGATACCTATTCATATATCATATAAAGCTCATACAAAAAGCAAAAATTCGTATATGTGTGGGAAGTTGAATAAAGGTAATGGTACCAAAAAAAACAACGAAATGTACACATTTGTCAGAAGGAGCAAGAATGTTTCTCTGTAAAAGATTCGCTCAAATTCACGACATTTCCGCCTTCCGCCTGATTAAACAACTAATAAGCCATTAAAATATTCACATTTCAAATAACTTAACATTCGCCAACATCATTTTTAATCACGGATGTCCATGTTGTGTTGCTTATGTTTCGAGAGCAATTATTTGGCCATGCTTTACCAGGATTTTTCTCTACAACACAGTGATTTAAATCTTTCCAAGTTCTGCCATCAGGATAAAGTAGAATGGAATGATCCATTGCAATGTCAAGAACCAGAGCAACAGCTGTACGACAAAGTTTGATTAACTGAATAAGTTGAACTATTGCCTAAGATCTAATACGCATATTCGAAATCGCAACAAATGCCAAACAAAAAAGGACAATCCGCGAGGATGATGCAGAAACTGAAGTTGAGCATCTCATAATAAAAGCCTGCAATCTTACAATTTCTTGTATTCCTATGTCGCTTCGATAGTTCTAGAGATCGCAAGAAAGCTGTGACATGTAAACACATGTCGTTCATATTCTGTTTACGAGATTAAGATAGCTGTCATATTGGTGTTTATAAGGGTACCGGCCGTGTTACCCTAGTACCCCGACCACTAGTAATATGACGACCACGATGATCACTAATACTGTTACAGAGATAGTGATACCAAGCATGATACTAATGCGTCTGTTCTTCTTCCTAAGAAACCAGTTGGCACGTCTGGCGTTCTCCCGAAAAGCAAGGGCCTCCTTTGTCTGCAACACATAATCAAGCGAATGTGTTCGGAGTGTTTTCAGTGTTTATTCTATGTCCGATTTGGGGAATACTTCAAAACGAAAGTAGAGAATTGGTATCGCTGTATAAACGTCAAACTATTATCAGTAAGAATAAGTGGTGTATCCTTATTTCTTAAACAGGTCAGATACTTGATTTCAATACATTACTATCAATTATACATTTTTATTTATTATTGTTGCGAAACCACTACGAGCGTGATAGTTGGGTTGTTTTCAAACAAATGTGTGAAGAATATACAATCTTACATTTTTTTCGACAAAGAATTCCAACTCTTCTATTTTTTCTGATCGTTTGAAAGATTCTTTCCTAATGACATTCTTTAGATTGTCCTTGATCATGTTAACCTCCTCCACTTTCTCTCCGTCCTCCTTTACTTCATTCGCCTGTTTAAATACATGGACAATAGGGTAGGGAATGTACAACATCAGTGTTTTGGACATGCAGTTTTATACAAGTATATCGCAAAAAACGTGACTTTAGTAGAGCAGGTCAGCAGGAATTTTATCGACATTTACTATGAATATCTATCTAGTATTGATGTTATAAGAGACTTGCGTTCATGCCGACATGAATGCTAATACATCGGTTATATGTACGTACGTCGATAACATCGAACCCTTCCGTAAGAGCAGCTAGTTCCAGTGTTACTGAGGCTGTGGACTCGTTGTCCGGCGGCAACACTTCGTTGTTTGTTGTACATATGTCAGACGAGTACAGCTCCTGATATAAACCACACCATGTTAGTAAGTATTAAAATGGACCACATTTAGTTAGTAAATGGACCACACCATGTTAGTAAGTATTAAAATGGACCACATTTAGTTAGTAAATGGACCACACCGTGTTAGTATCAAAATGGACCACAACATGTTAGTATCAAAATGGATAACATTTAGTATCAAAATGGATAACATTTAGTTAGTAAATGAACAATACAATTAGTATCAAAAATGAATCACACGGACTAACATGTAACAATACTCTGAATTACGTACTAAAACTTGTAAAATTTCTGATATTACTTTGGAAATCGACCACGATTTTCACAGGCCACTGCATCACAAACGTATGCCTCTGTGCCTTAACGGGAGCGTCGAAGCTATGTCTTGCTTGGTGGCCAAACCAGTTCTTCCATGAAAACTGGTTCTGCTGCGATCGTCACTGCTTCCATATATTTTTAGTATGTATGGATCACATCATTTTTTAAAATCGATGATGCTTCTCCAAACTTTACCCAACAAAGGACAGTAAAGGCGTCGGATAGGAATTACACAAGAAAAGCAAGGGTAGAGCATCGGTTTTTACAACCTTAAGAAAAGATCCGCAGTGTGTGGTTTGATCCCTACTAAGGCGATTTTTGTTTCTCAGGAAGCTGATGGATCGTCCATTGCTGTCGTTATTATGTTCTATGACATTGTACTATACTCGTGTTGTTTTGAAAAGCGTGAGACGGACATCCTTCATGCTTTTGAGTGTGATAAGCACCAGGTGCTACTAGTAGACCCATCTCAAACCATACCAGTTCACGAGACAATAAACCAGGCAAACAAACAAACATATATCCCCAAACCTACCAAATTTCTTTCATTTTAAATCGTCTAGAAAATAATAACAAGGCCATGCGAATTAAATACCATTTGTGTGTCAAGTACTGCAACAAATTCAGCATCAAGTTCGTGGGGTTCGGATGACGACAAGTCCCTTGAACCGAAACCTGTCTGCCAAAACAGAGTCTTCACCTGCCGGTTAAAAAACACGTCACAATTAAATACACAAAGTTGATTACATATTATTGATTTATTGGCCGAGGAAAGTATCAGAGAGGAGAACACTAGTAAATCTATTTAATTTCTTCACGAGAGGTTTTGCAATGTATACCATGGTAAATAACTTTAGGTAAAATAATAGACGTGTAAATGAGATATACTGATACCACGTGATGCATTGATGTTAATTAGGACAAAACTAGTCTGTTGAAAGTAGCAGATTTAAACTAAGGCACATTAAAGACACAACTTGATCACGCTACTCGAAGCACCAAATAAAAACTACGTGTTGTTTAAATGCTCACAAAATGTCTTTGTTTAGTTGAAATAAAGAAAGATTTTTGGACGGGCCAACGCACTCTCACCTTCTCACGTACTTTACCTGGATTAGGAAGGCATAGGACTGCATCACGGTGACGTCGGCAGTGACGGTACATAGGAATGTGACGTCATTCTCCGTGATCGTATAGTACACGTAACTAATAATGAAATACAATATCTTCTATGAGAAACTAGATGCGACATGAAGAAACGACTAAGAATAATGACACTTGCTTTTAGAGGCGAATAAACGGGAAGTCAAATCAGAGCCAAAACGGCATTCTTAGCTAGGTTTTAGAAATGCTAGAAGCATACCAAGAATTTGTCCAAATTTTTCACTATGAACTTCATACTTGAAATCATCTCACTTTTATCATAATTGGTAATGTTGGTAATTGGTGCATTGATAATGTCAGAATTGGTAATTGTTTATGACTAAATTGTCATTATCGGACAAACCTTTCAGTGTCGGTACATGGTTTAAAACTTACTCAGTATCGGTACATGGTTTATAACTTACTCAGTATCGGTACATGGTTTAAAACCTACTTGTCAGTGTCGGTACATGGTTTATAACTTACTCAGTATCGGTACATGGTTTATAACTTACTCAGTATCGGTACATGGTTTATAACCTACTTGTTAGTATCGGTACATGGTTTGTGACTTACTTGTCAGTGTCGATACATGGTTTATGACTTGTCAGTATCGGAACATGGTTTGTGACTTACTTGTCAGTATCGGTACATGGTTTGTGACTTACTTGTCAGTGTCGATACATGGTTTATGACTTACTTGTCAGTATCGATACATGGTTTGTGACTTGTCAGTGTCGGTACATGGTTTGTGACTTACTTGTCAGTATCGGTACATGGTTTGTGACTTACTTGTCTGTGTCGATACATGGTTTATGACTTGTCAGTATCGGTACATGGTTTGTGACTTACTTGTCAGTATCGGTACATGGTTTGTGACTTACTTGTCAGTATCGGTACATGGTTTGTGACTTACTTGTCAGAGTCGGTACATGGTTTGTGACTTACTTGTCAGTGTCGATACATGGTTTGTGACTTACTTGTCACTATCGGTACATGGTTTGTGACTTACTTGTCAGTGTCGGTACATGGTTTGTGACTTACTTGTCAGTATCGGTACATGGTTTGTGACTTACTTGTCAGTGTCGATACATGGTTTATGACTTGTCAGTATCGGTATATGGTTTGTGACTTACTTGTCAGTATCGATACATGGTTTGTGACTTGTCAGTGTCGGCACATGGTTTGTGACTTACTTGTCAGTATCGGTACATGATTTGTGACTTACTTGTCAGTGTCGGTATATGGTTTATGACTTGTCAGTGTCGGTACATGGTTTGTGACTTACGTGTCAGTGTCGATACATGGTTTGTGACTTGTCAGTGTCGGTACATGGTTTGTGACTTACTTGTCAGTATCGGTATATGGTTTAGGACTTGTCAGTGTCGGTACATGGTTTGTGACCTACTTGTCAGTGTCGATACATGGTCTGTGACTTGTCAGTGTCGGTGCATGGTTTGTGACTTACTTGTCAGTATCGGTACATGGTTTGTGACTTACTTGTCAGTGTCGGTATATGGTTTGTGACTTGTCAGTGTCGGTACATGGTTTGTGACTTACGTGTCAGTGTCTATACATGGTTTGTGACTTGTCAGTGTCGGTACATGGTTTGTGACTTACTTGTCAGTATCGGTATATGGTTTATGACTTGTCAGTGTCGGTACATGGTTTGTGACTTACTTGTCAGTGTCGATACATGGTCTGTGACTTGTCAGTGTCGGTACATGGTTTGTGACTTACTTGTCAGTATCGGTACATGGTTTGTGACTTACTTGTCAGTGTCGGTATATGGTTTATGACTTGTCAGTGTCGGTACATGGTTTGTGACTTACTTGTCAGTATCGGTACATGGTTTGTGACTTACTTGTCAGTGTCGGTATATGGTTTTTGACTTGTCAGTGTCGGTACATGGTTTGTGACTTACTTGTCAGTATCGGTACATGGTTTGTGACTAGTCAGTATCGGTACATGGTTTGTGACTTACTTGTCAGTGTCGGTACATGGTTTGTGACTTACTTGCCGGCATTGAAGACATTCTTTCCCTTCTTGTAAGTTGAAATTTCTGACAAACGTGACGCCAGAAGCTTCTCGAACGGTCCTGGGGCTGTTTGGTAACTGCACAGAACTGTGGTGTTATACACCACGCAGCTGTACTGGATAGGCATCCGTTATATACTGGTGGAATACGCCAATATTCGGAACTTACTCAAAAAGTCCACAAATGTAATTATGCTCATGATACTGAAATGAAATTCGTACTGAAATATGCTGTACGTAACCGCCTATCTCGAGCTGATAACAATGGACAGATTGCGGGTTGTACAAGTAACTACTACGTGTTGATAAACAATACGGAAGTAGACATGCTTATACCTGATACTAACCGATGGTTCCCCGACATACATGTTGTTTCTAGTTGGTATACAAGATAATGTAGCATATCATGTAATGATTTGAGTACTAGTCTAATGCTATTCAAAGATATTAAATAAGAACGGAAAATATAAATTCCTAGAGAAAATGTCGAAAAAATTAAAATCTTAGTATCCATGAGATGTCGTTGAAATTAAAAAGATGAGTGCCTTGCAAAAATTAATCCACCTAAATCAGACAAAAATAACAATGGCAACTTAGCCCTCTTGTAAGTGTGGAGGAACCCTTAAACCGAAATGTGAAGTACATGTAAAGAATATATTTTTCAAGATGATGATCACACGTGTTATCTAAGCCAGATATCAAATTCTCATGCAGGATCAAACATCCATTGGTAAAGTTAAAAGCCTGTTGTATATCCAATACATGTGTATTTTTTAATGATGGGTTTTGTACCTATTTTGAGTACTCAGTGTAGTAATGTAATTCGAAATGCAGTTTTTCAGACTGCTTCAATAGTGAACCACCTCCAAAGATCTTTTGGATTCTGTGACTGGGTGAAACGATAACATTTTACACTGGATTAACTTTCAGAGTAAAGTTAACCGCTCAATCCATTTTGTAAAATGAGCGGGTCTGTGTGGCTTGTACAATCTGCCATCAGCTGACGATCTATGCTTCATTGGCTCAGTCAGAAGAGCCTTGGATTATCACGCTTTAAATATTCCTGTCGGGAATGTGTTGTCATTTCAAAATTGTTAAAAGAATTAGCAGCTTGAACCATATTGAAATTAAACAAGTCTGCATTCCATGATTGATGGTAAATCCAAACTTATTTATTGACACTATAGCATGCGATTGTGCCTGCAGATCAAGCATCCATTATCTTGATAATTGTTTGCAGACATTAACACATTTCCGAAGAGGAAATGCTGGCTAATCTGTAACATCGTTAAAATGTCGTGAACCAAGTCATTTTGCAAGCTTTGCAGAAATTTACACATTCTTTTGTATGCTTTATTCCCCTATAACCTTTTCGTTGTTAGAACGCAAAATGAATCTTTCTTGATTCGTCGGTTTTTTCGATTATATTTATCGAAGAAAAACCATCTAGCTCCGCCCACTTGATATTTGAGGACTCAACGGCAACACGCCACTTCGCGTTGGGTCTGTTGGAACGTTATTTTTGTATGAATGAAATGTAAACAAATAAACGGACAACATTATAAAATATTTAAAGATTATAAACAATGAAAAGGTCACGGATTTATCAGGGGAAAGATGTCATTTTATACTTTTACACATTTCCGTTTTGAATGTGAATTAATGAATTTTTGAATGACTGAAAATGACGCGAATTAGCTGTCAATGACGTCACGTCATGTCGCACCAGCAATGATTTGTTGAGATAATTCTTCATGAAAATATCAAATGTGTACATTCATGTGTTATTCTTGTTTTTTTTAACCCAAGAAAATAATTACCCCGGTATAACTTTTGATAGAAATATTATGTTTTAGTTTCATGCAAGTATGAAACAAAAAAAAATCCTATCAAAGCTTAAATAACAAAGAGTTCCTCATGGGGAGGGAAACAATGACACTGAAATTCAGTTATTCTCCACACCAAATAGATTAATACAGTATTACATACTTTGATGTATTTTACATAACAACTATTCTGATTGTCTATCATGGATTCCTAATCTTAACAAGAATCCATATAAACAGTGTTTTATTGCTAACTACTGAAGTTGTGTGACCAAACCTGTAGTCCCTTGCTACCACTTTTAGTACAATAAAATCAGAGGGTCTTATTGTGATACTTTTTGTTTGAAAAAATTGAATTAATGGTATCAGGATTTTAAAGAACTCCATTGAGATTTTGACCAATCTTAGACATTTTCTAAAAAAAAAAAACCTGATTTTCCAAAAGCTATCATATCCATTGCAAACTAAAGGAATGCACAAGAGTTTTCTTTCCTGAAGGTGAATAGCAGTACAAATATATAGTTGAAATTATACTATTATGTACTTCATACAATACATTCAGAGTAATATATGAAAACTAAAGTGTAAAAATTATTAAATTTCTGGTTGGCAGTATCTTTGTGGAGTTTGTTGACAGGATCCACCTTTGGCTAATCTTTTTTTTATAATACAAGGCTGAATTTATAGTAGAGCTTAAAAAAACAGGTCACAAAGAACTTATAAAATCAATAAATTTGATTTTCAGATATACATTGTATTGATCTCGTTTTTAAATACCCAGAAATTTAATGACCACCGTCCATTGTTTAAACCAACCTGTATTGCACTACTTGGATTTTCAAGATTTACATGCTGGGTGTTGTTAATGAAGCAGAAGATGCTTCTTTTTCAGGGACACCTGGAATTATTCTTTTACTTTTTCAGGAGTCTCGTTGTTTTGTTCATATTTTGCCCTAGTTTGACTAAATTTGAGTTTAAGTTAAGATTCTGTTGACATGTCCGTATTTTTCTTTGCTGTCAATCCCTGAAACATCTTTGAGTAAGTGGTTACATGTATGTCTCACTAGACTCTTTCCAGCACAAGCCTGAAACAAGTGCCAGCCTTAAAATATTATTACAAGTTAAAAAAAAACTCATTTCTCTACACAATGTTCAGATGTTGGCTCCCATGTTTGTGCAGATAATGTTTTGGCTAGTGATATGCCTACCATATTTATTACAAGTCTGCAGAATTACCAACAAGTGTTGATTCAGTCATATAACCAGAATGTCATTATATTTGATTTTGTTTTGTCTGTCTGAAATGAACATTCATTTTTCTATTTCATCTAAACTGACAAGTGAATGTATTTGTTGCAGGAAGTATAATAGTCAAACAAGTGTGGAAATAAAAATCATTCGAAACATTTTATTATTTCTACAATAACACACCAAGAAGTGTCTATAAATCCACCCAATAGTCCATCCATTGGAATACCTTCCATAGCACTCGTTCTCAATCGTATTTCCTCTTGTCAACTGTAAATATAACAAATTCAAGAGTTAGTAATAGTACAGAAAAGTTTAATTGAAAGTAAATAAATGCCTGTCAGCAATCCCATTTTTCTGATTAATCACAAAAATGAATAGGAAAAAGCCATGGCAAATACATAGTTGGAAAGCTCCATCCTATTTCAACATAGCAGTCTCCCATCAAGAATACTTAAGATCAAATCTGGACAAAATTGAATCAGTTCTACAGAAGGAGTAGATTTAACTCTATTTCCCCTAATGGGGGCCTGCCCTTCTCCTTCAGACCAAATTTCAGCAAAATCCAAAGATTCCTACAGGAGGAGTAGGATTTTAAAGAACTTACTATATTTTCCTTATTTGGCTATGCTCCACCCCTACCATCTCAAGGGACCAAGACCTATCACCTATAATAGATTGATTCCCCTTCACCCAAAAATGCTTCTGTCTAAATATGGGCCCTATCCATTCAACCCTACAGGAAGAGTTAGATTTTAAAGAATTGACTCTATTTCCCTGAGTGGAAATCGCACCTCTCGCCATAAAGGATTGATACCCAACATTTATAAAAGATTGTTTCCTGTTCACCCAAGACTGATTCAGACCAAATTTGGGCATTATTCATTCATTTCTTCATTCTAAGGAATTTCCATTTTTGGTCCCTGCTCCTCAGGCCCCTGGGGGGCCTGCAACAAATATTTATACCAACTTGGTTCCTCTTCCTCCAAGGATGCTTCAGACCAAATTTGGTATAAAAAAATGAAACACATAGAAATGTGTTTTTGAGACATTAGGAATTATGACGGTAAGATCATGAATAGTAGTTTAAATAAAAACCACAGATATGTTCATTTACTATACTTACAAACAGTATGAAAGTGATGCTGTGCTTCAAGAATTGCAACAGGTATACACATAATCATGAACACCTTCCAATTACTGTTTTTGGAGGAAAAAAAGTTGTTCTTGAAAGTTGCATAACCTGAAATGTCAAAACACACATGATCAGAATTTGCTGTAGCAAGGAATTCTTATGTACGACTGGTAAATATAACATATTGCATGTACTATTCATACATTCTATTGGCAAAATTTGTTCATATCATCTTTTCTAATATGCCTATCTTATCAACTCCACAAACTTGGCATACCATCAACTAATTTTACTTTTCGAGAACTTGGATAAAAGATTGATTTCCAGGTGCCCTGTGTCAAAATGTTTTACCAAAGAATGATGACAGCCTTACCTTTATCAAAATAGCCACTGTTGGTAATCAAGAATATAAGAAAGCTCTTAAGTGGGTCAAAATTTGAAACTGATGCTAACAGCAACATCTAACTATGCCTCCTAAGTCTGCACTAGTCTTGCCCTGCATGTACAGCATGAATTGTACCTGCTGTCTCCACTGCACCATTTGTTTGAAAACAAGCTGATCTCTTGATGCCTAGCTCAGTCATTCATGAATAAATATAGAAAAAGTTGATAGATGCAGCACACAGGGCAGACGATGGATGTTGCGGTATCTCTGTATAAAAATAGTTTTACTCCCTGCTGTGAAGGTTTACAGTAAAGAATGGTTTCATTTGCCCATTTTCATCAAATGCGACCAGAATAGATGTTCTGCTTGAATCCTTTGGCAGTTGACTTCAATGTGGTAGAACTACATCAGTTCTGCATCAGTTACACAAACATATTGAAGTCTCTCGCAAGCACATACATGCATCATATGCACTCACCTTGCATATATTGTGAGGCTATCCTTAAATGATCATATATAGCCAATGATAGGTCTTAAAGCAGTATAAAACCAAAATAAAACTTAAGGCTACACAATGTTAAGGAGCAAATAGCGAGATGTCAAAGTATGTCGATCTGTCTTGTGAAATTAACAATTTGGAATTTATTAGACAATAGAGAGTATGTTTTTCACTCCCAAAAATGAGTCTTGACTCTTAGAATTGAATGAACATATCTATTTCACATATGTTTTGACCTTTAAGATTTGTAATTTGACTTCTTTAATTACGAAATATCAAGGTTCACCTGAATGCTTGAATACTTCCTTCCTATGCTTATGCTTGTAAATGTACATTGCTTTTCCTTCTTAGGGATTAACCCAGGTAGATAAAATAGAATTACCTCGGCCAAAAGCCCTTGCAATTCCAAATGGACTTATATCCCTTCTCGAAATCCAGGCTGGTAGTTCCTTGACAGTCACATCCATAAAGGGTTTGTCAGCTGAAATTGGAGGAAAAAGTAAAAAAATATTTGCAACAGAAAAGTAAAGAATTTTCATTTTCAACAATAAATCCAAGCAATGTTCAAATTCACATACTTTTATTTCATGATAATCTAGACAAATATACTATTGGTAAGAACAAATGAAATTATCATATTCATATAAACAAATTCCTGTTTGATACAAATCTTTTATGTACACCTGCAATGTTATGATAAAATTACATGCAGCAGATTCGGTGTACTACACGTAGATGATTGACAAGACATCAAAAACTCATCAAAGGCAATTATCAGGTTGTTGTATTTTTTCGTATAATGAAATCCAATTAATTGTGAGCTAGGTACAACCACCGTAAATCATAAATATATGTAAGTAATAATCAAAATGAAGCCTCTTACATAAATTATTTCGTGGTAGCTAGTGCGGTCAAGACTTCCCACATGAAGAAGGAAACTAGTATGTATTGAAATTGTGGTCTTAACAAACTTTTGAAAACCTTTTTTCATGAAATAAATTGACAAACACTGATGGTTACTTCTTCTAAATACAGTTATCAAATTGTAACAAATTTTATCATATCAGTTCCAGACCGTTATATTTATTTTGGGGGATGGTCATTTCATCAAGCTGTATCACATGAACAATGCACTCTTGTGAACTTGTACCAGGATGATTTTGATTGCTGTTATTATATAACAATATAATACAATAATCTATACACCCCTCTAAGATGCTACTGATTTCTTGTCTCATGTCAAGTGAATGAATAAAACATTGATGATCAAGTATTAATTGTAAAAAAGGACCATGACAATTTGTCAAAAATTGTGTCCAGTTCTTTTGTTACAATTTGTGAAATTCAGAAACTGACAATATCATAGACACTGTATTTAAGATGTAATAACAAACCTTCATACATAAATTCATTAAAATCACACAATATCTAAATTTCAACCAATCAGAAGCCTTCATTTTGCAATCAATTTGGTGACAAGGTAATTTATTAGAAAGTTAATAGCATTACAAAAGTGTCCTAGAGTTATCCTAGTTACCAATTATCACCCTGAAGCACTGAACAGAACAAAAGTTATTGGTGAAAAGGTATTAGCCAATCAGAAGCCAGAAATGGAGGTCATTTTGCTTAAGCGAACAGATATTATAATATCTCAAAGTTTGGAGATGATCCAACCTAGTTTTGTCGAAAAGTGTCACAAACCTTCACAGCAGAAAAGAGAAGAAAGATTAACAATAATACAAAGAATCAGGATGAAATTATTAAGTTCCCAACATTTGGAGTACTTCATAACAAATCTCCTCACAATACATAGAGAATACATGGTCAGTGTCTTAAAATATAAGCTGTATTTGGTGAGGGTGAAGAAAGACAAAGCACATGTGTTATCTTAAGACACTGGCAACGCATTTATTTATCCTGTGACATTGCTTGAAAATCAGACTATTGAAACTTAAATATAATTCCAAACTGAAAATGAATTTTCATAAAACAACTTGTTCATTACAAGAAGTAAAATCACTTATATTGACAAGTGTTTGAATTTCTTGAATAACATTTAAGTATTTTAAGAAAGTAATTATGTCAAATTATTGCATGTGCTGTTTTCTGTCACTGCCAAGTACAGCAAAAATTTAAGTGGCAGGTGTATTCAACAATGGCAGCACCAGTTGCAGGATATATATGATATATATATAAATTTACTGCATCCCTTATATGCAAATCATGTATTAAGAAACCATTTGTTTTAAATTATCTTTTTTCATGGCTCATTTTTGCTCTTTGAAATGATTTACATGTGATTTGTTGTATTATGATTTGAAAACTTGTATGTTAACCAAGAATTATGTTTATTTTGAAGTTATTTGTTTGAGTGTGTATCTGTAGAAAATACCAATGCTACACTAACAGTTTATTGAATAATTCTTATAGCATGAACACATTTCAACATATGTATCAGTGTTTGTTAAGGATTAAGTTGCAATTCAGCAACATAGCGAAGCTATCAAGATACTTTTTTTAGGGGGGGAGGGGGGGGGGGGTGGGTGGGAGGGGTATGAAACTGATTTGAGAACAATATTTTGACACATCCCCTTGTTCAGCCCGAACTTCAGGTTATCAAAGATATTGATGGAGCTTATAGGGTACAAGTTATATAACACATATAAATAAATTCCACATTCAGCCAAAAAGTATATTGATAAAGTGTAGTATTGATTTTTTTTTTAAAATATCTACATCCCATCTCAGTTTTAATAGTCTTTATGATGTCCAGAATCCTCTTCTGCCTTTGACAATGTAATTTAGTTCTATAAATTTGTCTCATGCATGCTTAAATGGCTAAAATCATGCTGGTGGACCCATCCGTTCGGTAAACCTATCTAACAGTATGGTGTAGTATTCAAGTGTACGTTGAAAAGCTTAAATAGATTCAGAGTAGCAATTCGTTAATAAAAACAAACCGGGCCTATCGGTACGCGAAAAAAGGATTAACGAAAACACTACGTACTGTGATCATTTGTCATTGAACGTGGTTTGGTGTGCAGGTCTACCTGACAAAACTGATACGATATCAAATGCATACAGTGACTGATATCTTACGTTTTCCATACCACCGTGAGGGGTCGTATGTGCCATGCACCCTTGGGTTATAGTTAGGGTCATATTTGCCGATGTTTCTGATCCCGTTTCCTAGTCCTTCCATCTTGCCGGTGTCTTCGGCTCAAGGGCAAAGTAAATTATAATGAAAGACACAGTTGCATTATCAAATTCCGGAATTTGCTATATTTTTTCGTAGATTTATTCATTTCATGCCAACATAAATAAAAAATGTTTAAAATTATATAGATAAGCATAAGAATATTATTGTTTCGTATTATTTTATCATACTATGGTATTAAATTTAATTTATGTCGATCAGGCGGAAGATTCGTTTTATCGTGACCGGTTTAGAAATAGTTCTCAACGATATTCCTACGCGGAGGCAGAGGAAAGACTGAAAAAGCGACAAAAGGTTCACCAGCAACAACCGGCGTCACATATCATTGCTCTGTAGAAATGTTCATTAATGTTAGTATTCAAGGGACGATATGAAACGGAGTTTATGCTTTAAAATATCAGTTTCGTAAATTTAAAATTTCCTAATCACTCCTGAACGATTTTTCAAGCAAACTGGTTAGAAAACGGACATTATCACGTCACTAAAGTGAAGTAATTTCAGCAGAGACATATATAACGTGTGATATATACGTCTCTGATTTCAGCACTCATTTGTGACGTTGTGTACAATGCAATGCATTCATACTCCGTTATCTAAACCCGTCGTCTCACTCGCGGCAACGGACTTCTGCCTATAATTCCGTGAAGGTATCACAGAGAAGCGGTCGAATTCGAAAATAATGATAAACACAAACACAACAAAATAAAACAAATTTCCAACGAAAAAATGTTCAAGAAAACATTTGGTGTACAACGAAACCGAAAAAAGTGGAAAACTTTTGAAAAGTTTTGAATCGAAATATTCTAAGCGAAGATGTTGGAGTTCTATGATATGTAATAGATCACTAGAAAACCTTGAAGGTTTTTCTTAATTTAAACAATATTTTTATTCAATTTTCAACAATATGACAAGCTTACAGCTTAATTAATTCCCTTTCCAAGTATATATAAAAAAAATTAATCTTCGGAGCTGGAAACACTTCACTTGTAAACATAAGTTTAACAACTGACATATGTATATGTGGTAAATCATGACGCGTTAGATTGTTTATCTGTAGATAAAGCATGGCATGATGGTTTGTGTAAAAACCTTGGAATCCTGCTTGTTTGGCTTAAAATATTAACACCAAACAGAACATCTGCATACCTTCAGTTTGGTATTGTATACTTTAGAGATCAAAGACACAATGCTTCAAGTTTTAGGTCTGAAAAAATGTAAACGAAAATATTACAAAATATGTGGAAAAAATTCTGTTTCATAGGTAAATATTGGTTATAGTGTAAGATAAATATCATAATTTTATATAAAATATTATCAACGTTACTGTAGAAGGGGAATGGAGCGGGGAGGGGGACGATACAGTATAAAGATTTTGTTTATTCACCTTAGGCTCGAGTGCTGCTCATATATCCTCACTAGACATATGTCTGGTTGTTCTCAGTTTTCAAAAGTTAGGACCAGCTCTCAAGGCCCTATGTTCCTGTCCTGCTCTAAGGGTAAAATTTAGTCCTTAAGTGTCTTGTAGATTTGTGATGTGTCCGTACTCAAAATGCCAAGGTAGCACAACTAATTCTCTACTTGAGAGGAAATTACAGAAGCTTTTACGTTTCTGTATTCCTATTCCCTGTCTGGTTAAAATCCACATATTGGCACCTAAAAGTTCATCATCTGAAAGCCACACACCTAGATGTTAATGGGATTTTACATTAGATAATTTAATATTGTTAATAGATATAGGATATTAATTTCCCAGTGTAACGATCCTGTCTTGATTAAATTTTAGGCTCCTATTTGCCCAGGTATGTATTCTTGAATGATCATTTTTGATAGTATTGATAGCGACTGTAGGATTTTCATCCAATATGTTGAATTACAATTAATGCCGTTCACTATATCATTAACATATACCAAGTAGAAAAGGGAACCTAAGATTGAACCTTGAGATGCACCTGCTTTAATGATAAAAGAAATGTTGATATTTTATATTTTCTTGTAAACCTCCAACAGTAACTGCTAATAAAAATATTCTGATCTCCCAGAATTACTGCCCTTCGTTTCACTCTGTCAGTCTGGACAGCCGATGAGGGTCGAGAATGATAAACAGAGTATATATTAATGACCAATTCGTAAGAGCTTTCAAAGACACTTAAGAATAAAACAATCATCGGATCAGAATTATAAGTTAATTTTTCGAAATATGCAGTTTAATTAAACATAATTTCAATGTCTTTGAACATAACAATACTGAAGTGTTCTACCTTAATTATGCTTTCTGATGCGATTTCAGTTGTAATCTGCATTTCATTGACTTTGCCGTCTTTAGGTACACCATTGATGTTGCCTTAAACAAACACCTATACTAAATTTCAAATTTACGCAGACAAATAAGTGAAGCCATTTTTTTACTATATATACTAATATACGTCTGCACTGTATTGTATACTACCCTTTCCCATATAATATATTACATGATAATCAAAGGTCTACTTAGCTTGACGTAGACACATCCGGTTTGTTACTCAAGATGGGTGAAAGATCCGCCTATGTCAGTTACGTTAAGCTTGATAGCCCCTGTGGTTGAACTATGGGGAAAAAGCACCAGGTATCGTATACATTGCATGTAACAAAGGTAATAGGAAAAAATCACCGTAATTAATCGATTTACATGTGCGAAGTACATAGTTATAACAAAGAGACCCAATATGAGCATGTGGTATTGGTTACTTGCTCAGCTGCTAGTGTCATCTCAGGCGCCAGTGTCTAGATTGAAAACACAAGTAAAATACAGTTCACCACTTTATATATATATGTATTATATTTGTATGATGAAAAGTGTTCACGAGTTTAATTGAATTGTATTCACGCCAATGGAAAACCGATACATCATGCTACAATGTAAATGTTATATATTTTTGTGAGTCCTCCTACTTTATCACTGAAAACAATGCTTCCCTCAATGTTAAATTTAAGTATTTAAAAAAAATTCTATGAGTTCCATAAAAAATCTACAAGTATAGGAATCCAGACTCGCATACAGATTGCTCAATGATCCATGTAAGATTTGCTGTTGAGGGAAAATGTGGGTAATCTCTTCCACAAATTGATGAACTGCCCTCCTCTGCCTTTTATATTTAAACTGTTTCTACTTGTTTTAAGCTTGTACATGTATATTTAATTTATGTTATAAATAATCTTTTATTTCATAACAATTGCTTAACAAGCTTTAAGCTTATATTAATCACTCTTGATGGCCCAGATGGAAGCATGTGGGGGTCTTACTGTGGGAGGAAACCAGAGTACCCTGGGAATACCCACATGGTCGGGCAGGTGACCCCATACCTTTTCACATCCATTCCGGGAATGAAACCCCAGACAGCTAGGTGAAAGGCGAGTGCGATAACACTGCATTACATGACCACCCATTTATCATATAGGGTAGTATCAGTTCATTAGTTAAGGGACATCAAAGTGAAAAATAGCATCTCTAGAAACGAAATGAATATAGATACACATTCCAACCATTGTTGTCCATAAGGACATGTACCCCATCTGTTAATGCATAATTTGGATGGAAGAGGAAACTAATAAACTGTTTTCTGTTATGTGTGATAATTTGTCTAATATATTTGTACATTGGTTTACAGGTTTGATGAGACTAAGGATAGAAATGGATGTAAAACCATCAGAGATGGCAGCAACAGACAGGTTGACAGAATGTTTGGCAATAACAAATCTTCCATCTGTTGTAGTTACACATATGCTTTCCTTTTTGTCATGGGAAGATAAGCTCAATGTCATCATTGCTATCCCTCAGTGGTGTTCATGTTTCAGAGCTGTGGCTGCTTGGAAGTGTGTTGAATATGGCAATGAAATGGACGAGAATATGTACTTTTTGAAAGAAAAGCGTACCAAGTTCTTGTTTTGCATAAAACAATATGGAAAGTACATGAGATCTATCAAGTTAATCTTTGGAAGTAAACTTAGTCATATGGCAATTAAGATAATGCATGCAGTGAGTGAATTTTGTTCTCATCTGACATATTTTCATATAGGACAGGAAGTGCCATTACAGGTGGATGAAAGTCTTGTTTGGAGAAAAAGTGTGGTAAATGGTATTTGTAGTATCTTACAAAATTGTAACCAATTGAATAGTGTTTCTATATGTCAGCCTGTGATTGACTGGACAGAATCTCCTGATAACAATATTATCTTGAACATTATACAGCAAGGTCTGGCACACAAGATTACTAATCTAGAACTAAATGCTGAGTCACTGTGGGAACATGAAGGTTATCAGGACTTTCTGAAGAACTTTACTCACTTAAAACGTCTTGTTACAAGGAGGGAAAATATTACCGATGAAATTCTCCTTGTCTTGGCTCAGCATAAATTGGAGGAAGTGACTTTGGTTCAAGAAGAGGAAATACCTCTTCAGCAGCAAGAACATCTTAAAGAAGGATTCTGGACTAAAGTTTTAAACATCTGCCCAACATTCCAAATTGACATGATCTTAAGGTATATTATGGTAATCAAGGATTCCTTCCCTGCTATGATGCCGTTAAGGAAATTGATATTAGATGACCTTGTTAACATTGTGACCAAAGGTGTACTGGAGCACCTCACTGAAAACTACAAGGACTGCCTGGAACATTTCACATACACAAACTCTCTACTAGAAAATTATGAAACGGGAGATAGGAGGTTGCCTTCCTCTCTTGTGAACATGGCTATGAAGTGTACAAAATTGAGATCTTTACAATATGGCTTTCCTTTGTCCAGTACCTCAATCTTGCTTCTGGCCCGTGCTAGGAAGCTTGAGAAACTCCTCATCCAGGCAGTGGAGGTATCTTATGAATATGACTGGCAGACTGATCCAAACTGGTCTTCCGAATTTGTTGCCTGGCTTAAAGCCAGTGGAAAGAACGAAAGAACTCTGGAACTTGCAGTTTCAGAAATCCTTGGTTTTAAGTGGAAACTCAGTTATGATCCTTTTACTTTAGATGAACAACTCAACACTATGTACATGTGAATGTTATTGAATAATAAAATGTTGCTGCAAACAAATATCTAAACACATTGTTATTGGAATTTTTGTTTATCGACTGTAGAAAGCAAAATATTAGTGGACCAATTACCTGGTAAATTGATACCGATATGTAGCTACATTACTTATCTGTGCGAGTCTGGAGGGGGGGGGGGTTAACTTTCCTCAAAAAATTATGAAACTGGGATTCTTTCAGTCTGTTTTAATGTTATCAACATCTAATTATGAATCCTGACACTCACAGTTGCTATTTACAATTACTACATGATAAAAATTTATAACAGTATACCACCACACTCAATAAGTATTACATCGCCAGACAGTGAACTGGATATGCAATATACACATAGAATTCACTTGAAAAAGTCATCAACATTGGACCAGATACAGCCAATCTCTCCCAGAGTGCATTGTGACAGTAAGGAATAACTTTGGTAGAGATTGGGGTACAACACATGTATTGTGGGAAATCATTTCTTGTCACAATCCAATGTTATATATATTTTTCAGTAAATCAAACATATCTTTCTGATCAAAGGATTTATGTATTTTCTTTCAGTTTTGAAATGTAATGAGATTAAATCCAGGTAGCTTATTTTTTATTTGAAGTTCAATAGGTCAGAAATAAAAATTATATTGCTACAAAGTTGAAATATTGTTCAATCTTGATGAGTGTGTTTTCAAAGAACCTTCAATGACCATTTATGATGCATTTAGTGTAAAATGAATATCAATGTGAGAATTTCAAATCAATGGAACACTTTTATTGTCATTTTTTTCATTATTTCATGTTCTGTAATTCAATGATTTAGCACTTCAAAAACAAACAGTACTTAAAATCAAGTACCTTATTTACTATCTTCATTTTTCATGTTTTCAACTGGTTGAATTTCTTTATTTTTGTTCCTAATACCATTTCATACATGTCAGACAAAAATCTGATAGTGTTAGAGCAGGATTGCATCACTTCCAAAAACCTAAAAACTATTTCTACTTCCATGATACATTAATACATTATTTGGCCAAGGCCTGATAATGCAATAATGCATTATCGGGGATTAAAGGGTTAAAACATTAATTGTGGAATTTTGCATCACTTGTTCCACAAATGAACACCCCCTATCCACCTGACGGAAGAAAATTCCACCCTCTTGCTCCTGTTTTTCCAGAATTTCCCTGAAAAACTGTTTTAATTATTACAAATCTGTCTCTGATTGTTTACATGTTCCCTTCAGAGTACTGGACAAATCTGTCTCTGGTTGTTTACATGTTTCCTTCGTAGTACTGGACAAATCTGTCTCTGATTGTTTACATGTTCCTTTGGAGTACTGGACAAATCTGTCTCTGATTGTTTACATGTTCCTTTGGAGTACTGGACAAATCTGTCTCTGATTGTTTACTTGTTCCTTTGGAGTACTGGACAAATCTGTCTCTGATTGTTTACATGTTCCTTTGGAGTACTGGACAAATCTGTCTCTGACTGTTTACTTGTTCCTTTGGAGTACTGGACAAATCTGTCTCTGATTGTTTACATGTTCCTTTGGAGTACTGGACAAATCTGCCTCTGATTGTTTACTTGTTCCTATGTTCCATTTCCTTTGGAGTTCTTGAAATTTCTGTATATTATTATGGAGTACTTGACAAATCTGTCTCTGATTGTTTACTTGTTCCTTTGGAGTACTGGACAAATCTGTCTCTGATTGTTTACATGTTCCTTTGGAGTACTGGACAAATCTGTCTCTGATTGTTTACATGTTCCTTTGGAGTACTGGACAAATCTGTCTCTGATTGTTTACATGTTCCTTTGGAGTACTGGACAAATCTGTCTCTGATTGTTTACATGTTCCTTTGGAGTACTGGACAAATCTGTCTCTGATTGTTTACATGTTCCTTTGGAGTACTGGACAAATCTGTCTCTGATTGTTTACTTGTTCCTTTGGAGTACTGGACAAATCTGTCTCTGATTGTTTATTGTTCCTTTGGAGTACTGGACAAATTGTTTACTTGTTCCTTTGGAGTACTGGACAAATCTGTCTCTGATTGTTTACTTGTTCCTTTGGAGTACTGGACAAATCTGTCTCTGATTGTTTACATGTTCCTTTGGAGTACTGGACAAATCTGTCTCTGATTGTTTACATGTTCCTTTGGAGTACTGGACAAATCTGTCTCTGATTGTTTACTTGTTCCTTTGGAGTACTGGACAAATCTGTCTCTGATTGTTTACTTGTTCCTTTGGAGTACTGGACAAATCTGTCTCTGATTGTTTACTTGTTCCTTTGGAGTACTGGACAAATCTGTCTCTGATTGTTTACATGTTCCTTTGGAGTACTGGACAAATCTGTCTCGGATTGTTTACTTGTTCCTTTGGAGTACTGGACAAATCTGTCTCTGTTTACATGTTCCCTTCAGAGTACTGGACAAATCTGTCTCTGATTGTTTACTTGTTCCCTTTGGAGTACTGGACAAATCTGTCTCTGACTGTTTACTTGTTCCTTTGGAGTACTGGACAAATCTGTCTCTGACTGTTTACATGTTCCCTTCAGAGTACTGGACAAATCTGTCTCTGATTGTTTACATGTTCCTTTGGAGTACTGGACAAATCTGTCTCTGATTGTTTACTTGTTCCCTTTGGAGTACTGGACAAATCTGTCTCTGATTGTTTACATGTTCCTTTGGAGTACTGGACAAATCTGTCTCTGATTGTTTACTTGTTCCTTTGGAGTACTGGACAAATCTGTCTGACTGTTTAGTTGTTCCTTTGGAGTACTGGACAAATCTGTCTCTGACTGTTTACATGTTCCCTTCGGAGTACTGGACAAATCTGTCTCCGATTGTTTACATGTTCCTTTGGAGTTCTGGACAAATCTGTCTCTGATTGTTTACATGTTCCCTTCAGAGTACTGGACAAATCTGACTCTGACTGTTTACATCTGTTCCTTTGGAGTACTGGACAAATCTGTCTCTGTTACTACAAATCTGTCTCTTTGTTTACTTGTTCCCTTCAGAGTACTGGACAAATCTGTCTCTGATTGTTTACATGTTCCCTTTGGAGTACTGGACAAATCTGTCTCTGATTGTTTACTTGTTCCCTTTGGAGTACTGGACAAATCTGTCTGACTGTTTACTTGTTCCCTTTGGAGTACTGGACAAATCTGTCTCTGACTGTTTACTTGTTCCCTTCAGAGTACTGGACAAATCTGTCTCTGATTGTTTACTTGTTCCTTTGGAGTACTGGACAAATCTGTCTCTGATTGTTTACTTGTTCCTTTGGAGTACTGGACAAATCTGTCTCTGATTGTTTACTTGTTCCTTTGGAGTACTGGACAAATCTGTCTCTGATTGTTTACATGTTCCTTTGGAGTACTGGACAAATCTGTCTCTGACTGTTTACATGTTCCCTTCGGAGTACTGGACAAATCTGTCTCCGATTGTTTACATGTTCCTTTGGAGTTCTGGACAAATCTGTCTCTGATTGTTTACATGTTCCCTTCAGAGTACTGGACAAATCTGACTCTGACTGTTTACATGTTCCTTTGGAGTACTGGACAAATCTGTCTCTGTTTACATGTTCCCTTCAGAGTACTGGACAAATCTGTCTCTGATTGTTTACTTGTTCCCTTCAGAGTACTGGACAAATCTGTCTCTGATTGTTTACATGTTCCCTTTGGAGTACTGGACAAATCTGTCTCTGATTGTTTACTTGTTCCCTTTGGAGTACTGGACAAATCTGTCTCTGACTGTTTACTTGTTCCCTTCAGAGTACTGGACAAATCTGTCTCTGACTGTTTACTTGTTCCCTTCAGAGTACTGGACAAATCTGTCTCTGACTGTTTACATGTTCCCTTCAGAGTACTGGACAAATCTGTCTGACTGTTTACTTGTTCCTTTGGAGTACTGGACAAATCTGTCTCTGACTGTTTACATGTTCCCTTCAGAGTACTGGACAAATCTGTCTCTGTTTACTTGTTCCTTTGGAGTACTGGACAAATCTGTCTCTGACTGTTTACTTGTTCCCTTTGAAGTACTGGACAAATCTGTCTCTGATTGTTTACATGTTCCCTTCAGAGTACTGGACAAATCTGTCTGACTGTTTACTTGTTCCTTTGGAGTACTGGACAAATCTGTCTCTGATTGTTTACTTGTTCCCTTCAGAGTACTGGACAAATCTGTCTCTGACTGTTTACTTGTTCCCTTTGGAGTACTGGACAAATCTGTCTCTGATTGTTTACATGTTCCCTTCAGAGTACTGGACAAATCTGTCTCTGACTGTTTACTTGTTCCTTTGGAGTACTGGACAAATCTGTCTCTGATTGTTTACATGTTCCCTTCAGAGTACTGGACAAATCTGTCTCTGACTGTTTACTTGTTCCTTTGGAGTACTGGACAAATCTGTCTCTGATTGTTTACATGTTCCCTTCAGAGTACTGGACAAATCTGTCTCTGATTGTTTACATGTTCCCTTCAGAGTACTGGACAAATCTGTCTCTGATTGTTTACATGTTCCCTTCAGAGTACTGGACAAATCTGTCTCTGTTTACTTGTTCCCTTCAGAGTACTGGACAATGTTAATTTAAATATTTTCCCTTACTAATGGGGTTTGCTGACTGTTTTACTTAAAAGAAACAACAGTTATATATGACGATACAAAATGAATGCACAATGAAAAGCCTGAAGCAGGAATTACATAATATAAAGATTTATTCACTTATAATCATCGGTCAACAAATAATAGTAATAAAAAATCTGATATGCTCATATACATTGTACTATATTAAATTGATGAAATATATGTACATGTAGTTGGGACAATCGTGTGCCAGGTTAATACATTATGCATAGGCCCTATGTACACCGCCTTTAACACAGTACAATTTCTGCTACATCATATCAAGAAGATTTAAAGCCTAATAGCAATTTATCTAATGCATTTAAAGTAGCATTTACATGACAAATTGTACACAAATATTAGGAGAGTTATACAACAAAAAATAAATGGAAATCGGCCAAAATATCATGATAGTTACTGTCCTTGGCCCGATGCTTCAACTCTACCTGTCACTTAATTCATACCTTTCATTTCCAATTTCTTCATTCAAGTATCTACGTGTGAAAAAAGGAATAGGTATTACAGTGTACAAACAAATATTTTTCTTATTGACTCCAAGCTGCTGTCCTGATTGGATCCAGACCAAATTTAGTCAATATCTCTCAATATGTATTTCAGGAAAAGCTTTTGAAATATTTACCCGTACAAAATCCTGTTCCTGAATTTGGGAGAGGAGCTTGTTCTGTATTGAACACAACAGAGTCTCCTTGGCCAAACTGGGATCCTACAGACCAATTCAGGTTAAAATTCCCATCCTCAACAAGAGTACTGCAGGGTGGATTAATGTATAACTATATTGAAATGAACACAAATATGGAAATGTTAATATTGAATGAAAATGTCTAAAGGGAAAACAATCTGACATGTTTGATGATAAAGGAGATGGGTAGAAAACTGAAAGAAATGATATCCCATATTGTTGATAGTGAAAATATGAACAAACAATTTTTATAATATGATCCCAGTATTTCAGAGCCCCAAGAAAGGCCTTACCCAACCAACTAACATCAACCAAGTGATAGGTTGCTAACTATATCCTCTCCAAACATCTCTCCAGACTAAATTTAGATAAAATCTCTAAAGGCACATTGGATCAAAGTGAACAATAAATACTAATTTTGATGTGAGAGTTACTTAGCTCTTTCATATGGAACCGCTACCAAATAGTTCCAAAAATATAACCAAAAGAGCAACAGTATAGGATACCTGGTATATGTTACTGTTATAATGATATACTTGTATGATGAATAGATAATGCATAACAAGAAGAGATCCCAGAGGGATCTTGGCACCCACCATCATTTGTCTTTATTTGTTCTTTAAAAGTTGGATCTTTTCCCTTATTTTCTCTTCTCTTCTCTGTTTTTGCTCTTAATTATTTGAAATTTGAAGATTCCTTTCCAGAAGTAATAATAATCCTTAACTGCCAAATCAAAGATGGTAGCCATTTTCTCTAGTGGCAATAAAAAACTTTATATGGTGAAATCCAAAATGGCTGTCTGTCTGCCATTTTGTTTTTCTGATCAGTCCCAAAATTATCCTGACACAACAAGGGACCAAGGGGAACCTATGTATGAAATTTGATAGAGATCCATTCTGTACTTCTCAATAAATAGACATAACAAGTTTTCAAAGTCAAAATCCAAGATGGCCACCTATCAGCCATTTTGTTTTTCTGATCATCTGAAAGATTCATCCTGTACGTCTCAAAAAGTAGCGATAACAATATTTGTTTATGAAGGGATGGACAACAGACAGATGACGGACCATGGACAAAGGGCAATTTGAATAGCGCACCATCATCAAGTGGGCTAATAAATATAACAATCAATGTATAACAATTGAATTCAAAAGAGACAGCTTTACAAACAGTTTTAGATCATAAGAAGCATGAAACAAATTTTTGGGACTACATAAAGACATTCGCACATAAATGCTAACAAAAAAATGTGAAAAAATGAAAATGGCCCTGTATGTGAATATTTAGGGGTGAAAGATCTGAAAATATATGTTGTACAATCTGATTCTCAAGGACATAATGTCATACAAGCTGTTTCATCAACTCTTACATGTTCAACTGCACCATTAATTTATATTTCTAGTACAATGAATAATTGCCAAGCTCACTGGAATCAGTCCTTGTATATACCGAATAAGAGGAGGAATTAAAAGTCTCCAAAAAACTTAGAGTCAGTTTTGATGTTGAAAAAGTTAGTGAAAATTATGGCAAATTTGCTAAACAATCAGCATTAAACTGCTGTTACATTAATCTTGGACCTCTAATGATTATGCAAATGTATATACCAAACAGGAGGGGTATGGGATGTATACTTAAGGACTTATCGGTGAGCTGAAAATGAAATGTAAACAAAGTATTTTCCAAGTATATCTTTTCAGAAGAATTTTTTTCCCGAGGTGAAGATCAGTTTCAATGTAACAAAACACATATTTCATAATCAGTATTAATAATTATGGCGATATTACCAAGTACATGGTAAGTAGTAATACAATTCCACCTTGTGATAAATCACTGACCCTTTAAGATCAACAAATTCAAATAAATTTTTAAGTAAAATATACATTGAAAATACTTGTCCACATCATGCCAACTTCAGGCATTTTGAAAGTAATATATTCACAATCATGATTATAGTGATTTAGAATTAATATTGAAAAATAAAAGTCTATTAAAATTGTTTTTACAGTATGCACATAATGATTTGAACTTTTGATAGAAAACTGCAATAATTGTGCTAAATAGTGCAAAACTGTGCAATTACTGCACTAAAGTAATAAATATAAATACTTAAAAAACAAAAACAGACCCACATTAGGGTAGTGATAAGCTTTTAACATTTTTAAGTTAATCTTCACACCAGTTACATTCTGCCTGCTTCACAGAAGCATGCGATATACCATGACATCCAAAGGGTAGCGAACATTCTTTGAACACCCATGTATAAGAATCAGTGAGATAATTACAAAATACATATTATTTGGAACCATATCTTCCTCACAATTCTTAACTCCAACTTCACTTACAATGAAAATATAAACACGAAATATAAGTATTTTCAAAAATGTTTAACTCTCCATATGGCAAGTGTAGCAGTTAATTCAATATATCACCAGATTACATTAAAAAAAATCCTTCAAAATTGAACCTGCTGACTAATATTTCACCAGGACTAAATAGCATATTTCCTTTGCTTTATTTTAAAATTGAGATAAATTTCTTTTGGTATGTATTTCTCACAACATGACATTACAATATATAAAAATATGTAGCTGAAAAGAGCATCCTGTTTAAAAAAATTTTGTTCCCCCAACAAAACCATTTGTTTTCTTCAAATTTCAAAGGATTTGGTTATTTGCTAATTTTATCACCATGTGTTCATGCCAAGGTCAAATTGAGGCAGATTTCATGTAGTGGGTGTTGGCTCACTGAACATTTTTCAGGAGGCCCATTAGCATTGCATGCTATCCAGAGCAATTAGAGTGGAGTTGTCTCTTGCTCAATGACATAACAACACAGGAAGGTCTGTGATCTCAGAGAAACACAAACCATCCAGTAGGAACTGAACGACACATATTTTATCTTCACCTCTAGTCTTTACAGACTGAAATATCACAGCCATCTTATGAGTCACACACTTCGTGCACATTGGCTGGTAAATAAACTGTACACTGCGATGCTCCAATTTAAGAAAAGAATTTTCTGATTTTCCTTAATTCCTCATATGAGCTGAGGCCCCAAGGATACTCTTCAAGCATTCTAGTAGTGCATTAATTTCATCAGCCAAGAAATGCTCAGTGTGAAATTTAGTCTTTAAATATTTTAGGTTGGTTCAAAAGAAAAAGTGTACAATGGACTAAATAGCAGACCCCATGACATTAACTTGACTGAAATTAAGGTAAACACAGAAACATAGAGAGAATTGCTTACACACTAGACTAGTATGAATTTTGCTTGCATACTGGTATCATATGTCTATAATGAACAGAACAATATTTCAACAGGCCTTACAAATTACACCAGAACATGTCACTAAGAAATGACAAGAATGACCCACTCTGTGAATGTAGTTATCGTTGATGATTTTTTTTTTTAGAATAAATCAAATGTGACCTTTGACCCTTTAATCTTGGCCAATAACCACTTTAATACAAGGTATAGAACTTTATCATGATACTACATGTATAGAGTAAATATGATCCTGATCTGTTGAGGGGTTCTCTAAATACAAAATTAATTTGGATTGGGACAAGACGGACGGCTGGACATGGCTAACACTATGGGGCATAAAATGTGTTTTTCACTATCACAACACCATGGAAAGCTGTTAGATAATCCTAACTTAATTGCTAACAAATATAAATTGTTCTAGAGATGTTTGGTCTATTTATAGGTGCCATTTCTATTATATGCATGAGCAGCATAATAAAAGTAATATGTACACAACTGGATTTCATGAAATCTATTCTCACCCTGTAAGGACTAGATTTATCACAATATAATAACAATAATAGTCCCTACTTGAATAATGATTTTTCACTTCTATTCCATGAATTGATTAAATAATTGATGACATCTAATGTAAACACTTTGAGTTTAGTTATCTATAACAAATGATTTTTCTGCAATATGTACATCTGTTTTTATTAGTAATGATCAAAGTTGTAATTGGAATGTTACCACATTTATGTCTTATTAGAAGAGCCAGACAGATAACTGAAACTGTTAACTTATTATGTTCTCCTTCAACCTCCTGTACAATGCAACTTTGTCAACGTATTCGAGGTCATTATTCAGTCTGACTTCAACTCTCATAGTTACATTAACTTTAACATGTCTTCGCCAGAATTTCTTTGGTCTTCACAGCACAGTTAGCTAATGTTGTCTTGTAATAATTGGTTATGAGTAGAAACATTTTCCTTAGTTGTTCCTAGTAAAGTTGTTGACAGTTGACTCTGGTTTCTGTGTTGAACTTCACAATATCTTGGTTAATTTGAAAAATGATGACATTATAGTTAATGGACAGTCATGAAACAGTGATTAAATAGGAATTGAAATAATTTGTGTCTGAACTCAATTGGATTTATATTCAGAAGAAAAATTACTAATACATATTCATTTATTGAAGTTTTCAAATTTTCATTAGATTGTTTTTCATCCCAATCAGGAAAATTTATGTGAAAATTTGCTTTTCAACCTTACATTCATAACCATCTCATTTCATCTAGCAGGTGGTTCATTACCTGTTTTTATATATATTTAATTGATATAAACCATAGTTAACCAAATCTCTCTTCAATTTACATGTCGTTACTATATACTCAAATAAGATCACAATCAAGTTATAAGTTACCAAGCTTGATTGTACCTTCTTGAACCAATCCATATTACTTAAAGCAACTTCTTAGGTAAACTTTTTCTACATTCAAGCACTTTCACTTATCTTCATTATATCCTGAAGCAGTATATTATAGCTTTATAAATTTGCTACTGGTCATCTGATGCAGTTACAAAACTGGTATGATGTTGAAGTCTTAAACTAATTTGTTTTGCAACATACTAGTAATAAAAAATTCTGATTTACTAAGTCATCTTGTAAAAGACCTGTCAACTGTTATACAGTCTAGCTAGTAAACTAACAGATTAATGAGACAAGTTTAGGACCTTTTACGTAGGACTGCTTTCAGAGACCGACCATGAACAAGAGAGAGGTCATTCATAGAATCTAAATTCTTAATGATATCCTTTATGTCTAAATCCTGATTTTCATTGACACTCAACTTTTTCCTTCTCATTTCTTCATTAGGTGGTTTGGGTTTTCTCATTTTTTCATCATCCAGTTTATCTTTGTGGGGATCAACATCATCAGCTACGTCTCTTCGACGGCGAACTTCTTCTTTATGCTCTTTTTTATGTTTTTTAGAAGATTTCTTTTTAATGTGTAAATCTAATTCTTTGTTTGGATTGTCTACATTTCTGATATTATTCTGATCTGGTAATTGTGCCTGTGGTAAATGCTTATTATCCATCTTATCTAAGGTATTTACAGCATTATCAACAACCTGCTGTTTAAGATTGACTTTTTCAGGAACTTGTTGTTGAAAATTTCCTGCAATTTGACCTTGCTCTTTTTGGACAATCCCTTCAACTTGTTCAGGAGCCTGCTGTTGCATGTTTCCCACCTTTTGCTCACCTCCTGTCTTTTCTTTAATATTTCCTGTATTTTGACCTGCTCCTGCTTGTTGTTGAACTCCCCTGATTGGCTGATTGATGCCTTGCTGTTGTTGAACTCCTCCTATTGGCTGATTAATGCCTTGCTGTTGTTGAACTCCCCTGATTGGCTGATTGATGCCTTGCTGTTGTTGAACTCCTCCTATTGGCTGATTAATGCCTTGCTGTTGTTGAACTCCTCTGATTGGCTGATTAATACCTTGCTGTTGTTGAACTCCTCCGATTGGCTGATTAATGCCTTGCTGTTGTTGTTGTTGAACTCCTCCAATTGGCTGGTTGCCAACTTGCTGTTGTTGAATTCCTCCAATTGGCTGGTTTACGCCTTGCTGTTGTTGAATTTTTCCCACTGGTTGATTCATGTTCATCTGTTGTTGAACTCTTCCGATTGGCTGGCCACCTTGCTGTTGTTGTTGAACTCCTCCGATTGGCTGGCCACCTTGCTGTTGTTGTTGGACTCCTCCGATTGGCTGGCCACCTTGCTGTTGTTGTTGAACTCCTCCGATTGGCTGGCCACCTTGCTGTTGTTGTTGAACTCCTCCAATAGGCTGATTTATAACTTGCTGTCCTCCAACTGGCTGATTAATATTTTGTTGTTGTTTAACTCCTCCCACTGGCTGATTAATGCCTTGCTGTTGTTGAACTCCTCCAATTGGCTGGCCACCTTGCTGTTGTTGTTGAACTCCTCCAATAGGCTGGCCACCTTGCTGTTGTTGTTGAACTCCTCCAATTGGTTGGTTGCCAACTTGCTGTTGTTGAACTCTTTCGACTGGCTGCCCACCATCTTGCTGTTGTTGAATGTCTTTGGGTGGTTGGCCATTTCCTTGTTTCAAATTTAACTGTTGACCAGGCTGTCCTCCATTGATAGCTTGCTGCTTCTCTGCATCAATCTAAAGTATTGAATGAAACTATGTAAATGTAACATTAATCATTTTACAGGCTGCATGCTCTTCTTCTTTTCTTATGATTACTTCTTTTTTGTATCTGTGTTTTGAATCCCCCTGACAAGTATTCCTGTATGTTGCAAAGATATTTAATACTGACAAATAAATTAGGAAACGTGAATATGCAAGAAAATAAATATCATCAGAAAACAAAATTATGAAATCAATTTATGCAAGAGAAATTATGGTAGGTGGCCTTTACAAACATATTTACGAGACATTACCATAAAGAACAGAACTGCCAATGTAAACCATTATCATAACAAACAGTATCAAAAGAAATGAAAAACACTACCACCACCTCACAATATGCTGCTGTGCAGGGTCCATAAACCTAGGTAAACAGTCAAATTCTGGTTAATTGTTAGAGTTTTCTGATGTTTTCTTCAATAATTTTAGGGATGGTAAAGGATGTGCACAGGCAAAGGGCCAGGATAGATCTGCAAATAGTAAATATCCCACAACCAAATAACCCTCCATCTTTTATTTTGATTCCACCTCTCTGGTGCACAGCATTGTGCAATGTCCATTTGTCAGAAGTAACTAGAAAGATAATCTGGACATCTAAGACAAAGAATAATAAAAAAAAATTGCAGTCTTCAAATTTAACTGACACCAATATACTTACCATATCTGATGTAGATAACCAAATTAAAAATGTGATGATTTTTAAAATGGAGACAATCAGATATTAACAAATTCGTTAGTAAATAATGTTTCTTCCATAATTCTTATGTAAAAGTGATTTCCAGAATTTGTATCAAAAGTAAAAAATTCACATCATTTCTGAATAAAAACAATAAAATTAAAACAGACTATTCCTTATCACTAAATTCTCTTTTGTAATTTGACTGTACATGTATATCAGAGATTATCAAAGTTTTTTTTTAATACAAAGAAAGCAAGAACTTAGTATAATCTAGGTAGTGACACCACACTTGGTAAGGAATGTTCTCCGGTGTTGATAGCCTAGAGAACCAATGACAAGGAGTGTTTCAAACTTTACCTGTTTGTGTTCCTGTTCATGCTCTTTGAGCTGTGCCAGGATTTCCTTTTGTTCTTCGATCAGTTCCCGCTGTTCCTCACGTTGTTTTTCCAGCTCATTGATGATTTCATCCTGCTTCTTGTTCTTCCTTTCTTCTGCCTTCTCCTTTTCTCTCCTGTCCTCTGTGTTCTCCTTATCTCCTTCTTGCCTTACTTCCTGTCCTAACACTGTGTCCTTCCCCTGACCAATATCTTTACCTTGCTCTGCCCCTAACTCCTTCTCTACAACAGGTACCTTCTGTAACTGGTCTTGTCCTCCCAGTTCTTGTTCATCTTTTTTTATTTCTTTTTCATTTTTCTTCTTGTCCACTTTGTCACTGTCTTTTTTGTTGTTTAGTTCAGAATCTATTCGAGGCTTCTGAACATCTTGCTTGTCTAGATTGTCATTCTGTATGTAGAATGAAATAGAGCATTAACATGGATGACTGAAATGAATCAGTTTACATTACACAAGTGACTTCATAACACATCTACAAACCAGAGTATAATAATTACAGGTCAGTAAGATATTTACAGGTACTGGCTGATGCAAGTAACACAATATTTTCGGGCAAACAAAGCAACTATGCTTAGAAATTTCGTGGCAGATTCAGCAAGCTCATGTGCTGACAGATTTCAGTGAATTTTTCGAAGATGTGGAGGTTAATCTTTCATTCATATAGGATATATAATATCTGATAATGAAACAATTTCAGCACGAAAATTACAGGAATTATTGATTTTTACCCAGTTAAAGAATTTGCAATTTATCCCTATTTCCATTGAAATACATGTACATGTATAACCAATATCAACACTGTGTAGCTGCCTACCTCAGAAGGTGCTCTAGGATTTGGAGGCTCCACACGCTTGTCTTTCAATTTTTCATCTGAAAGAATTAGAAACACTCTATTAACAAGAAGAGACATCTAACTGTCACAAATCTGGCTAACTTAGAATATATACAAAATCTACTATCACATGACTTTAACAAATTTCTATATTGACAGCACACTTCAAATGATATTAACATATCAATCACACACCATGATATTAACATATCAATCACACACCATGATGGTAACATATCAATCACACACCATGATGGTAACATATCAATCAAACACATGATATTGACATATCAATCACACACCATGATATTGACATATCAATCACACACCATGATATTTACATATCAATCACACACCATGATATTTACATATCTGATAACAATTGATATTTCATACAGTTTGCTTTCTTACTTTCCTATTGTATTTACAGAAATATTTTAATTAATCATGTCACTTTTCATCAACTTTTTAAGATGTCTTCTTAAGGTCAGCTGTCAAAGTAAATATGCCATTGAAATATTTTTTCCTAATGAATGTCGATAATAGAAATATAGGTCTTGATGACCTACTCCTGGCATGCAACACAATAACTTCACAAGACGTAAAGCTTGTATGCAAAATAGTAAGGAAGACCTACCCTGGAAATGAATTAATGATGGACTTTCTGTCCAGTAACTTTATAAATATTAGATCTAACCCCTTTTTTTCAAAACTCAAGTATGAAACATTTTGGTCATAAAATTTGAGATTTCTATACAGAAGCAACAATCTGGAACACAGAAAATTACAGAGAATAATCACTACAGTTGTTCATTAATGTGAATCTATCTCTTTGAATTATAATCCTTTACTCCAGTGAATGCTTACCTTTATCTAGTATATCATCCACTTTGCCATCGTCGGCCATTTTGTCAGGAGGTTTATCCTTCAGGATGTGTTTGTCTTGAGTGTTTATATTGACTGGGGGCTGGAGGGGCTTTTCTTTATCAGATATTATAGGTACGCCTTTATCTTCCGTCTCATCCTTCACAACAATATCAACTGCCTGACCTTGTTCTTGGGACTTCAAGGTTGTCAATGTACATAGGACCATAATCAAGCATCCAAAAATCAACACAGCCTGTAGAAAAAAAACATCAAACCATGAAAAGTGATGTGATACAATGTAGTACAAAATGGAGAGATATATTGTATCTATACTGTCAGGAGTTTGGAAAATAATAAAAGCAGTTTCAGAAATATTATCTTTTACCATTAAATTTCAAAATAGGGTAAGTCAATTTTCTTTTGCAATCAAAATCAATCCATCCCAATTTAACAGTGTGAAATTAACTTTGAACTCTTATCTAATACATAAATAGTAGAGTTAATCATGAAACTAACTTGTGCAATCTGTTTTCCGTCCGATGAACTTGTCATCACTCGTAGGAAGAACACAGCAGGGAATATATAACAGATGAGGGTTCCCATTGTAGCACCATTCATAGCTAACACAAATTCCACTGAAAATTGAGACGAAAAACAATCAATAACTTTATAGAATTTAGTTTCCCTACTTGTAGGGCATGTTGTAAGTGTAGTCAGCTGTCAAACTTTGGTATTCAGCCAAAACCAATTGAGATGTATATAATTAATTTGATCTATAGCGATATGAATACCAAAATTATTGAGAAGTCTTATCAACTTGTATCATATCAGCAAACACAGTACAAGACTTGTCATAATGAATATTTTAAATGATTGATATGAAACCATTATTTCAGACCTTATTGTATGGATTGATCACTCAGTTTATTGCCTCATCATGGTTACGTTTATTTAAGACAGGTGTCTCCTTGTAGTAGCTGTTGGCTACCTTCCTGAACAACATATGGGAGGCCCATTGCATGCCATCCAGAATAATTGAGGAAAACTGTCTTGCCCAAAGACTATGAAAACACAGACCAGTTCATTTCTCATATCCCTGAGAAACACAAACCACCATAGGTACAGAGTGTCAAACCACACACTGCATCTTTACCTGATGATACAAAAGCCAAATCTCTATCCTCAATGAGTTACTGTGGCACCATATTATTGTATAAAAACCAATTCACCACAAACATAAATAAACATGAATGAATTAAACACAATTCAATACACTAAGCTTACCATTAGGGACTAGGATGCCCGTGGTCATTGAACCAACAACAATAAAAGTAGTGAGGACTTTAAAATGAAGCTCTGGTATAACAGGTCTCTTCTCTAAATCATCATTATGCTTTTGTTTCTGCAATGTAAGAAAATGTCTCTTGAGAAATTGATGTATATCCTAATAATTCCCTGATAGCAAGGTTGCAATGTAGGACTGAAATTAAGGGAAGTGTCCTCGCAAAAACAAGGTAAAAATTTGCCCTCTCAAACATAACGTTAAAAAGATTTTATAACAGATCAAAGTCAACTGATGCAAAATCAAATGTCAACCAATTCTTTTCTCAAGTGTCAGCTAGCAGCATTAGAATGTAACAGGAGAGATACGTACCTGAGGGAAGAGTAGTGTGTACAGACTCCCTCTACAGGGAAAGATGATGAGAGGGAAGGTGACAGCAATGGAGATGACAAATCCCAGTTTGAGAACATCGGATAACAAACTGACCTGAAAGTCTGTTACAATGTCACCACCGATATCTACATCATGGAAAGCAATGTAGCCAAAAAATCCAGTCTGAAAGGAAACCATTACAGCATTAATAAATATAATTTGTCAGTTAATGGCATGTCTAACCAGTTTTGAAATTTACTACATGTATGACCAATACAAATACCTGGTATGTAAGCGTGTGTAAGAGTTATCTTTGTGAAAATGACACAGGAAACTTCAATACTATATACAAGTTTGTGTATTAACCTCAAAACATATCTATAACTAACACACTTGTCTTATTTCTGAAATGAAAATTCATTTTTCCCCAAAAAATTTACTGTTACAGTGTATGTGCAAAACTTTAAGTTTATCTTGTGAGATAAATCCAATAATAATCAGAAATGGAGAACAGCATGTTCGTTTTCATAACCAGGAAAATATTTAATTCAAACAATTGGCCTATGAGAAATACAAAATGATTTTCTCATTACTGATGTTTTTCCCAAGTAATTATAGCCTACCAGCAGATAGCTGACTGTACACATATTGACAGCACTCTGTACAATGTTGTTGACACTCTTCAGTGACGGCTCTGGCAGGTTATCGTACATAATGAACAGCTGCCTGGTAAGACAAGACAATATTTCTATCAGTTGAATAGCAAATTTATCTGTTTTTCCATACAATAATAATTGTGACTAAATTAAGGAGGCCCAAAAAGAACACAGTTTTCACACACTAGTATTCCGACCAAGAGTTACTAGTATTCCGACCAAGAGTTACTAGTATTCTGACCAAGAGTTACTAGTATTCCGACCAAGAGTTACTTAACAATAATCTACAATTTTTAAAGAACAATTTGATTGCTTTTTTAAAAATCTAGACAAAGAAAAGATTCTTCCAAAAGTCATGAAGAAATGTGCATACTTATACAGTATGATCATTAAATGACATGAAACATGACCGCTGGAGGTTTCGAAATTGTGAAATTGGCTCGCTCTAAAGTGACTATGTTACTTATAAGTTAGATAAATTATTTGTAGGTGAATGAGCATCTGTTATGACATCTAAACAGATGGAGTCTGTAATTATTCTTTCAGTCGATCAGTTCACTTTGTTTAACTCACGTTTGACAACCAAAAGCAAAGGAAAAGATGGGTAGACATTTGAACAATCCATCAGTCCTCCAGAGATTGACTTTGTCAATCCAGTCACCAGATATCAGGTTTGGAATGGACAATGTGAACACCTAAAAGTAAGGAAGTGTTCTTAATCAAAATGAAAAATACACTAATATTTGTATCATAATTCAAGAAAAGCTCATTAGAAAGGATTTAGAGAATACTGCAATTCATTACTACCAATTAAAGATTATAGTTTTGATACCAGGATTTCAATTAAGACAAACTTGCTCAATCAAATGATATCTTACATTTTCAAATATTTGAAACTTTTACCATTGTAAAAAAGAAAACAACCAAGGATTCATTAAGTATAATCCTCATCCTTCCAACAGAATGAGACATTCACAACTAGATCTCTATCTTAAATTTTCTTCATTATAATGGCAAATTTCATATGTATTGTACATGAAACTTGTTTTGACTGTCAGACACAATGGGAAATCAGTTAAAACAGTTGACTGATTATGTAATAGTCTGATTGTGCATTGAGTGATCATAGGAAGGCAATGCATTCTCTATTTCAGTGATATTTAATATCTTCAGAATAACCTAAAATGCCTTACTTATCAAGAAATTGCTTAAGAATGAAATGTATTATTGCATCTTTATTATTCATAATATGAAATTGTTTCAGCTTGAACATTTTTTTTTTATTATTTATTTATTTTTTTGTTATTTTCATTGTATCAGTGGGCACTACAAATCCACAAATTTTATATGTCCAAGAATAACAATAAAAGGGTAAAAGTTGATGTGGATCTTAAGTACCTACTAGTGAACTTTGTGAGCCATATCAAGTGTCAACGAAACTGAATATTTTTGGAAGACCAAGAAATTTAATCCCTATAGAATTACATGTTTTTACAGAGATTCAACGATTTTGATACAACACTTGTACCACTGCCTATACTCACATAAACAGTAAAAAATCCATAAAAGAGAATACATAAGGTGCTAGCTCTGCTGACAGTATTAAGGTTTTTCAGCAGACCGAGAGGTAGTCCCACACACAGACACAGGAAGCAGATCAGACCCATCCGCAGGTTACCATTGTTCTACAACATCAAACATTCTATTTGTTTACACACATAAAGGACATGCAGTAGTTCCTTGCTATACATTTCCAGCTAAATTGTTAAAGAAGTCAGAGGATAACTCCCCTAGGGCCTGACTGGGAGCTGAACTCACATAAACTTTTTTTATGTTTTCTTATTTAGACACATTCTTCATTTTTCACATTAATTTTTACTGAAAGTCTTTGCTTCTTATTATCTCATTGCATGGAACAGCTGATACCAATGTGTCTTATAGTATTATTTCATCACATAGGGAACTATTACCATATTTATCCATAAAAAAACCCTGCCCACAAATAAGCCCCTTCTACATTTTTGCAGAATCATGAATTTTAAAATAGTAAGCTAAAAGAAGTCCATAACTTAAACTGAATTGTTACACTAGGAGAGAGGGCTTATTTCAGGATAAGCATGTTGCAAGGACCTAACATGCACAAATACCTGTGTCAAATATATGTTTCCACACATATTTCTATATTAACCATATATACAAGGTAAGGGAACACATTTTGAGAAAGGTAGTCTTTATAAGTGTTTTTGTCCTACACATATATTTTTGGGAGAGAAAGCATGAAGAAGAATCAAAGCACCTAAGAAGTATCTATCACTATTTTGTCAATGCTAAAACCTACCTCAAGTCCAAGGTACTTTGAAACAATGGCAGGACCAAGGTCACCAATAATGACTACTTGGGCAATCAGTGTCCCCAGCTGTAGCCCGATCATCCTGAAATACAGAGTAAAGATGAGTAAGTCAAATAGGATACTATCCCAATTGTAAATCTATCATCCTGAATTATAAAGTCAAATAGGATACTATCCCAATTGTAAATCTGTCATCCTGAATTATAAAGTCAAATAGGATACTATCCCAATTGTAAATCTATCATCCTGAATTATAAAGTCAAATAGGATACTATCCCAGTTGTAAATCTATCATCAGTGAATTACCGGTATGTAGCTCAACTCAGATATTGTAGTAAAGGAGAAATCATTAAAAATTAAATATTCCTGTGAACTGTTATTCGGAATTAAAATCTTATTCTGACTTACCCAATCTCAACAGCTAGTTTCCCTGGGGCACCATAAGTGTAGTAGGCTGAAAGAATCATTACATAAGACATTGATAATCTTTTTACAGGTTTTTGCGTAAATTTAATTAATTTTGTAATGAAAGTTCAGACCTTTTCGCTCGCAAGAAGTTGGTAATGATGGAGAAAAGAATATCATCATCAAAACAACATGTTCCCGACAGAAGGAGCATCAGATTAGTGATGGCTGTATAGTGAGACCATCAGATTAGTGATGGCTGTATAGTGAGACCATCAGATTAGTGATGGCTGTATAGTGAGACCATCAGATTAGTGATGGCTGGATAGTGATGTCTGAGACCATCAGATTAGTGATGTCTGTATAGTGAGACCATCAGATTAGTGATGGCTGTATAGTGATGGCTGTATAGTGAGACCATCAGATTAGTGATGGCTGTATAGTGATGGCTGTAGTGATGTGTAGAGACCATCAGATTAGTGATGGCTGTATAGTGAGACCATCAGATTAGTGATGGCTGTATAGTGAGACCATCAGATTAGTGATGGCTGTATAGTGAGACCATCAGATTAGTGATGGCTGGATAGTGAGACCATCAGATTAGTGATGGCTGTATAGTGAGACCATCAGATTAGTGATGGCTGTATAGTGAGACCATCAGATTAGTGATGGCTGTATAGTGAGACCATCAGATTAGTGATGTCTGTATAGTGAGACCATCAGATTAGTGATGTCTGTATAGTGAGACCATCAGATTAGTGATGGCTGTATAGTGAGACCATCAGATTAGTGATGTCTGTATAGTGAGACCATCAGATTAGTGATGTCTGTATAGTGAGACCATCAGATTAGTGATGGCTGGATAGTGAGACCATCAGATTAGTGATGTCTGTATAGTGAGACCATCAGATTAGTGATGGCTGTATAGTGAGACCATCAGATTAGTGATGGCTGGATTGTGAGACAATCAGATTAGTGATGGCTGTAGAGTGAGACAATCAGATTAGTGATGTCTGTATAGTGAGACCATCAGATTAGTGATGGCTGTATAGTGAGACCATCAGATTAGTGATGGCTGGATAGTGAGACCATCAGATTAGTGATGGCTGTATAGTGAGACCATCAGATTAGTGATGGCTGTATAGTGAGACCATCAGATTAGTGATGGCTGTATAGTGAGACCATCAGATTAGTGATGTCTGTATAGTGAGACCATCAGTTTAGTGATGGCTGTATAGTGAGACCATGATTAGTGATGGCTGAGACCATCAGATTAGTGATGGCTGTATAGTGAGACCATCAGATTAGTGATGGCTGTATAGTGAGACCATCAGATTAGTGATGGCTGTATAGTGAGACCATCAGATTAGTGATGTCTGTATAGTGAGACCATCAGATTAGTGATGGCTGTATAGTGAGACCATCAGATTAGTGATGTCTGTATAGTGAGATAGTGAGACCATCAGATTAGTGATGTCTGTATAGTGAGACCATCAGATTAGTGATGGCTGTATAGTGAGACCATCAGATTAGTGATGGCTGTATAGTGAGACCATCAGATTAGTGATGTCTGTATAGTGAGACCATCAGATTAGTGATGGGTGTATAGTGAGACCATCAGATTAGTGATGGCTGTATAGTGAGACCATCAGATTAGTGATGGCTGTATAGTGAGACCATCAGATTAGTGATGGCTGTATAGTGAGACCATCAGATTAGTGATGGCTGTATAGTGAGACCATCAGATTAGTGATGTCTGTATAGTGAGACCATCAGATTAGTGATGTCTGTATATGAGACCATGATTTAGTGTATAGTGACCATCAGATTAGTGATGGCTGTATAGTGAGACCATCAGATTAGTGATGGCTGTATAGTGAGACCATCAGATTAGTGATGGCTGTATAGTGAGACCATCAGATTAGTGATGTCTGTATAGTGAGACCATCAGATTAGTGATGGCTGTATAGTGAGACCATCAGATTAGTGATGGCTGTATAGTGAGACCATCAGATTAGTGATGTGTGTATAGTGAGACCATCAGATTAGTGATGTCTGTATAGTGAGACCATCAGATTAGTGATGGCTGTATAGTGAGACCATCAGATTAGTGATGGGTGTATAGTGAGACCATCAGATTAGTGATGGCTGTATAGTGAGACCATCAGATTAGTGATGTCTGTATGTATAGTGAGACCATCAGATTAGTGATGGCTGTATAGTGAGACCATCAGATTAGTGATGTCTGTATAGTGAGACCATCAGATCAGTGATGTCTGTATAGTGAGACCATCAGATCAGTGATGGGTGTATAGTGAGACCATCAGATTAGTGATGGCTGTATAGTGAGACCATCAGATTAGTGATGTCTGTATAGTGAGACCATCAGATTAGTGATGGGTGTATAGTGAGACCATCAGATTAGTGATGGCTGTATAGTGAGACCATCAGATTAGTGATGGCTGTATAGTGAGACCATCAGATTAGTGATGGCTCTGTATAGTGAGACCATCAGATTAGTGATGGCTGTATAGTGAGACCATCAGATTAGTGATGGCTGTATGTAGTGATGGCTGTAGTGAGACCATCAGATTAGTGATGGCTGTATAGTGAGACCATCAGATTAGTGATGGCTGTATAGTGAGACCATCAGATTAGTGATGGCTGTATAGTGAGACCATCAGATTGATGGCTGTATAGTGAGACCATCAGATTAGTGATGGCTGTATAGTGAGACCATCAGATTAGTGATGGCTGTATAGTGAGACCATCAGATTAGTGATGGCTGTATAGTGAGACCATCAGATTAGTGATGGCTGTATAGTGAGACCATCAGATTAGTGATGGCTGTATAGTGAGACCATCAGATTAGTGATGGCTGTATAGTGATGGCTGTATAGTGAGACCATCAGATTAGTGATGGCTGTATAGTGAGACCATCAGATTAGTGATGGCTGTATAGTGAGACCATCAGATTAGTGATGGCTGTATAGTGAGACCATCAGATTAGTGATGACCATCAGATTAGTGATGATGGAGACTGTATAGTGAGACCATCAGATTAGTGATGTCTGTATAGTGAGACCATCAGATTAGTGATGGCTGTATAGTGAGACCATCAGATTAGTGATGGCTGTATAGTGAGACCATCAGATTAGTGATGGCTGGATAGTGAGACCATCAGATTAGTGATGGCTGGATAGTGAGACCATCAGATTAGTGATGGCTGTATAGTGAGACCATCAGATTAGTGATGTCTGTATAGTGAGACCATCAGATTAGTGATGGCTGTATAGTGAGACCATCAGATTAGTGATGTCTGTATAGTGAGACCATCAGATTAGTGATGTCTGTATAGTGAGACCATCAGATTAGTGATGTCTGTATAGTGAGACCATCAGATTAGTGATGTCTGTATAGTGATGGCTGTATAGTGAGACCATCAGGTTAGTGATGTCTGTATAGTGAGACCATCAGATTAGTGATGGCTGTATAGTGAGACCATCAGATTAGTGATGGCTGTATAGTGAGACCATCAGATTAGTGATGTCTGTATAGTGAGACCATCAGATTAGTGATGGCTGTATAGTGAGACCATCAGGTTAGTGATGGCTGGATAGTGAGACCATCAGTTTAGTGATGGCTGTATAGTGAGACCATCAGATTAGTGATGGCTGTATAGTGAGACCATCAGATGGCTGGATAGTGATGTGATGGCTGTATAGTGAGACTGTGAGATAGTGAGACCATCAGATTAGTGATGTCTGTATAGTGAGACCAGTGGCTGTATAGATTAGTGATGTATAGTGAGACCATCAGATTAGTGATGGCTGTATAGTGAGACCATCAGATTAGTGATGTCTAGATAGTGAGTGAGACCATCAGATTAGTGATGGCTGTATAGTGAGACCATCAGATTAGTGATGGCTGTATAGTGAGACCATCAGATTAGTGATGGCTGTATAGTGAGACCATCAGATTAGTGATGGCTGTATAGTGAGACCATCAGATTAGTGATGGGTGTATAGTCAGATTAGTGATGTCTGTATAGTGAGACCATCAGATTAGTGATGTCTGTATAGTGAGACCATCAGATTAGTGATGGCTGGATAGTGAGACCATCAGATTAGTGATGGCTGTATAGTGAGACCATCAGATTAGTGATGGCTGTATAGTGAGACCATCAGATTAGTGATGTCTGTATAGTGAGACCATCAGATTAGTGATGGGTGGATAGTGAGACCATCAGATTAGTGATGGGTGGATAGTGAGACCATCAGATTAGTGATGGCTGTATAGTGAGACCATCAGATTAGTGATGGGTGTATAGTGAGACCATCAGATTAGTGATGGCTGTATAGTGAGACCATCAGATTAGTGATGGCTGTATAGTGAGACCATCAGATTAGTGATGGCTGTATAGTGAGACCATCAGATTAGTGATGGCTGTATAGTGAGACCATCAGATTAGTGATGTCTGTATAGTGAGACCATCAGATTAGTGATGGGTGTATAGTGATGGCTGTATAGTGATACCATCAGATTAGTGATGGCTGTATAGTGAGACCATCAGATTAGTGATGGGTGTATAGTGATGGCTGTATAGTGAGACCATCAGATTAGTGATGGCTGGATAGTGAGACCATCAGGTTAGTGATGTCTGTATAGTGAGACCATCAGATTAGTGATGTCTGTATAGTGAGGCTGTATAGTGAGACCATCAGATTAGTGATGGCTGTATAGTGAGACCATCAGATTAGTGATGGCTGTATAGTGAGACCATCAGATTAGTGATGGCTGTATAGTGAGACCATCAGATTAGTGATGGTATAGTGAGACTGATAGTGAGACCATCAGATTAGTGATGGCTGTATAGTGAGACCATCAGATTAGTGATGGCTGTATAGTGAGACCATCAGATTAGTGATGGCTGTATAGTGAGACCATCAGATTAGTGATGTCTGTATAGTGAGACCATCAGATTAGTGATGGCTGTATAGTGAGACCATCAGATTAGTGATGGCTGTATAGTGAGACCATCAGATTAGTGATGGCTGTATAGTGAGATAGTGAGACCATCAGATTAGTGATGGCTGGATAGTGAGACCATCAGATTAGTGATGGCTGTGTATAGTGAGACCATCAGATTAGTGATGGCTGTATAGTGATGGCTGTAGATGGCTGTATAGTGAGACCATCAGATTAGTGATGGCTGTATAGTGAGACCATCAGATTAGTGATGGGTGTATAGTGATGGCTGTATAGTGAGACCATCAGATTAGTGATGGCTGTATAGTGAGACCATCAGATTAGTGATGGCTGTATAGTGAGACCATCAGATTAGTGATGGCTGGATAGTGAGACCATCAGATTAGTGATGTCATCAGATTAGTGATGGCTGGATAGTGAGACCATCAGATTAGTGATGTCTGTATAGTGAGACCATCAGATTAGTGATGTCTGTATAGTGAGACCATCAGATTAGTGATGGCTGTATAGTGAGACCATCAGATTAGTGATGTCTGTATAGTGAGACCATCAGATTAGTGATGGCTGTATAGTGAGACCATCAGATTAGTGATGGCTGTATAGTGAGACCATCAGATTAGTGATGGCTGGATAGTGAGACCATCAGATTAGTGATGGCTGGAAAGTGAAACCATCAGGTTAGTGATGGCTGGATAGTGAGACCATCAGATTAGTAATGTCTAGATAGTGAGACCATCAGATTAGTAATGTCTAGATAGTGAGACCATCAGATTAGTGATGGCTAGACAGTGAAACCATCAGATTAGTGGTATCTGGAAAGTGAGACTATCAGTTTTCTGGTTCCTGGTATTTAATAAGTTCTCATTATTTTTGTTTTCTTCATACATTATTTACACAATACAGGATTTAATTGATCATACCCAGAAATCCATAGGATCTCCGCCGTGATGTTACACCAGCCTTCATCAGTAGGCGACATGATACCAGAGTCAACCAGGTGCAGAAGAAAAGGAGCACGGCTCCCAGCAGTATACCACACTAAAACAGAAAATACAGCATATGATTTCAAGCAACATATACTATACTGATATACAGTAAAACTCTTGTGAACCTGCATTACCCCATTACTCCCTTATTTGCTTGGACCCAACAGTGTCCTTACATATTCCTTGTTATTGAACCTCTTCCTCAGCTTGTTATTCCTCCAATACCCTTCATTCCTCAAACTCATTTCTATTCCTGCCCTTTAGACGTCATAGTATTTTCTCCCTTTATTTGTTGAACAGTTGTTGTGCTTATCAAAATTTGCCTGTCATAACAAGATTGCTTCCAATTTCAATGCACTTACTCCTAAAGTTTATAAAACCTGAAATACCTTTAGGCAGTATCAAAAATACAATTTCAGAAAAGTCAATTTTATATTTTAGTTGTATTGCATTTAAATTTTTGAAACCAATGACATGATGTAACATGTAATGAAGAATATTTTTTATCTGTTTAGAACCAAGCAGACAATGTTCTCACCTGTTTAAAACAGAATGGCATTGCCAGAATGGTGACTCCGATGATACTGTTGCTAAGGTTGATGACATGTGGGAGGTTGCTGGCAGCCATGTTTGAGCCAGATGAATGCTTCTCCTCCGTCTCTGGTCTAGAATCAGCTTCTATAAATTGTTCATTGTCATTATCTGCTTCCTTTAAATACAAAGATTCAAAACAGTTACATTCTATAAAGAGATGTTGAACTAGAGCACTGACTATCTGGTAGGTCACCATTAATTAGAGCGGGTTCTAAATTGGATCTACGTACATAATATATCGTACATTCTTTCTAATTACCATAACTCTTAAATCTTAGACATCTTTATGCAGGTATCTAGTAATTTTTGGGTAATTTTAATTCTACTGAAAATACGAAATGACTATTACTCATATATATATTCTTATAACCTGGTAATTTAACTAGAATGCTCATTAAAAAGTAAATTTATACTCTATCAACAAGCATACCGACTGAGATATCAAACACAATGCAAGAAATAAGTATGACAATCCAACAGTTTCATCACTGACAACAAAGTGTAATGGTGATCTATAAGTCTGTGAGAGGTTACATAAAAATCTTTAAGGAATGAAGCCAAGCTGACTAACTTTCACAGATGCTGGTCTAGAAAGAGAGAAGAAAAATCCCTAATTATTATGAGATACTGGGCCAGACATAGAGAAGAAAACTATAGCCCCCCCCCCCCCCATCCCTAATTATTATGAGAATTATGAGATGCTGGGCCAGACAGAGAGAAGAAAACTATAGCCCCCCCCATCCCTAATTATTATGAGATGCTGGGCCAGACAGAGAGAAGAAAACTATAGTCCCCCCCCATCCCTAATTATTATGAGATGCTGGGCCAGACAGAGAGAAGAAAACTATAGTCCCCCCATCCCTAATTATTATGAGATGCTGGGCCAGACAGAGAGAAGAAAACTATAGTCCCCCCATCCCTAATTATTATGAGATGCTGGGCCAGACAGAGAGAAGAAAACTCCAGTCCCACCCATCCCTAATTATTATGAGATGCTGGGCCAGACAGAGAGAAGAAACTATAGTCCCCCCCCCCATCCCTAATTATTATGAGATGCTGGGCCAGACAGAGAGAAGAAAACTATAGTCCCCCCATCCCTAATTATTATGAGATGCTGGGCCAGACAGAGAGAAGAAAACTATAGTCCCCCCATCCCTAATTATTATGAGATGCTGGGCCAGACAGAGAGAAGAAAACTCCAGTCCCACCCATCCCTAATTATTATGAGATGCTGGGCCAGACAGAGAGAAGAAAACTCCAGTCCCACCCATCCCTAATTATTATGAGATGCTGGGCCAGACAGAGAGAAGAAAACTATAGTCCCCCCATCCCTAATTATTATGAGATGCTGGGCAAGACAGAGAGAAGAAAACTATAGCCCCCCCATCCCTAATTATTATGAGATGCTGGGCCAGACAGAGAGTTAAAAACTATAGTTCCCCCCATCCCTAATTATTATGAGATGCTGGGCCAGACATAGAGAAGAAAACTATAGCCCCCCCCCCCATCCCTTATTATTATGAGATGCTGGGCCAGACAGAGGAAAACTGTAGTCTGCCCCCCTCCCCAACTCCCAATTCTTATTATGAGGCTAATAAGCAATGAAAGCTTCTGAAACTGTTTTGTGACAGTCAACAATGGAAAGCAAACAACTTATAAGTGCCAAAACAAATTTGAAAATTGCTCATAGCGACCAGACTGACTATATTAAATTTTATCTTGAACCTGCGAGTAAAAGTGAAAATGCCTTTATTTGCAGCAAAATTCATGAAAGTCAAAGTACTTCATGCAATTATATGTCACTAGAATGTATTATATTTACTTGTCAATTTGTTACTATATCTGGTTATATACATATTATATATATATTGTACACAATAACATTACATCAGAGACCATGGTGATATATATAGAACAACACAAATGACAGAAGTGACAGTTGAAGCCAAAGGCAATACACACTTCAAGATATGTGTGTTGATATACAAACATCCAAATGCAGAAACTGGATTCTGTGAAAGCACTGAAAAGGACTAACTTCTGGTTTAGTGATAGCAATAGAACATGTTGGTGAGCAAATAGTTGAAATTCAGAATGCCTTTATAATTAGTTTTGTTTAAATTTTCACCAATGTCTTTGGATTTGTTCATTTAGAAGTACATGCCACAGACTTAACAAAGATATACAAGGTTCAATCAGTTGACATTACACTAGTGGTATATGTCACCTGACTTAACTTAGAAGTACATGTCACTAGACTTAACGTTAAGGTACATGTTACCTGACTCTCGACTTAGAAGTACATGTTACCTGACTTAACTTCGAGATCTATAAATACCAGTCACCTAACTAAACTAACAAGTACAAGTCACATGACTTAACTAAGCTATCTACTAGAATCATTGTTCTTAATACTACAGTACCAAATACATGTGCTGTTGGGTACTGCAATAATCTCTAGGGGGAGATTGTTCTGTTAGAGGTACATGCCACTGGCTTAACTTTGAGGTACATATCGCCTGACTTAACTTAGAGGTATGGCAACTAACTTAACTCTGAAGTACAAGTCACCTGACTTCTTTTAGATCAAGAGATAATGCTCCTCTTGAAACCAACTAGAAAAGTAGACATTAAAAATGTAAATGACAATTTGAGAGAATGTAATCAAATTAAGTAACAATAATCAGTTTTACACCAAAAAACATTTTAAAGTCTTTTGCATTTTGAAAAGCAGGTCAGGAAATATTTTCTCTCTAATCCTGAGACTATTTGCTCAATCACAAGATAGAGTGTAAAATTATTGAAGTGAAGAGGGTAACACACAACATCTGATTAATATTTGCTGTGATAAGATACTCTAATATGGGACTTCAGGTCAGGATTTGGTTTGATATCCTTTACTGTTAGTGATATGTCTCATCATTTTGGTAATTAGTTAAAGAAGTGTTAATCAAGCTAGAGGGAGAAGAGAATGCATCAACATGTACACTAGTTACATTCCAGCTAATAAATTTCTACTAGGAAATTCAGAAGAAAGGCATTGGAAGATCTGCATGTTGAAAATGTAGCTTACACATTTTGCACTCCAAACAGATGTCTTGCTTTTCTTATTTTTGAATTTTTTTTTATTGGACCATGAATCATTTCAGGCCATTAAAGTGATACATGTCTTACTAGATACATGTATCTACATGATGACTGGCAAATGATTTTATGAAATGGATATGTTATTTTTTATTGGTACCTGGTACTGGTGAGAAAACTTTAGTCCTTACATAATCATATGCTAATGTTGATGTCACAATCATATGCTAATGTTGATCTCGGACATACATCTAGTGTCTGTGTAACATTTAGCAGTCACTCACCTTTTTTATATAAAAACACATTTCTATAATGTTAGATAATTTTAACTGAAAATCAACAGCAATCCCAATAACACAACAAACCCATAAAATACCTAGCAACACATTTTTAATCTTCTAAAGTAACTGTTTTATTTCATCAAATTTATATTTATCATCATAACATAAGGATTGAACAACAACAGGCATAGCCAATATAAGTTCACTTCCAATAAAGTATATCAATACTACAACTACTAGAGAGTACCAATCAGTAGAATTCTGACGGCATAATTGTGATAAAATAATATTACATTATATTACATGCACTTTTCACAGAAAATATCTTGTCAGATAAATTGCCTGTGATAACAGATATATATTTGTCCTAAAATAAATCTCTTTGTGCTTGATCATTAAATTGTAATACTCTGAATTTATCTGTTATTGTGACATATTACAATACTTCAAAAATTTAGGTATTGTGACATATTACAATACTTCAAAAATTTAGGTATTGTAACATATTACAATACTTCAAAAATTTAGGTATTGTAACATATTCCAATACTTCAAAAATTTAGGTATAGTGACATATTCCAATACTTCAAAAATTTAGGTATTGTAACATATTACAATACTTCAAAAATTTAGGTATTGTAACATATTACAATACTTCAAAAATTTAGGTATTGTGACATATTACAATACTTCAAAAATTTAGGTATTGTGACATATTACAATACTTCAAAAATTTAGGTATTGTGACATATTACAATACTTCAAAAATTTAGGTATTGTGACATATTACAATACTTCAAAAATTTAGGTATTGTAACATATTACAATACTTCAAAAATTTAGGTATTGTGACATATTACAATACTTCAAAAATTTAGGTATAGTGACATATTACAATACTTCAAAAATTTAGGTATTGTGACATATTACAATACTTCAAAAATTTAGGTATTGTAACATATTACACTACTTCAAAAATTTAGGTATTGTAACATATTACAATACTTCAAAAATTTAGGTATTGTAACATATTACAATACTTCAAAAATTTAGGTATTGTAACATAGTCCAATACTTCACAAATTTAGGTATAGTCACATATTACAATACTTCAAAAATTTAGGTATTGTAACATATTCCAATACTTCAAAAATTTAGGTATTGTAACATATTACAATACTTCAAAAATTTAGGTATTGTAACATATTACAATACTTCAAAAATTTAGGTATTGTAACATATTACAATACTTCAAAAATTTAGGTATTGTAACATATTACAATACTTCAAAAATTTAGGTATTGTAACATATTACAATACTTCAAAAATTTAGGTATAGTGACATATTACAATACTTCAAAAATTTAGGTATTGTAACATATTCCAATACTTCAAAAATTTAGGTATTGTAACATATTACAATACTTCAAAAATTTAGGTATTGTGACATATTACAATACTTCAAAAATTTAGGTATAGTGACATATTACAATACTTCAAAAATTTAGGTATAGTGACATATTACAATACTTCAAAAATTTAGGTATAGTAACATATTACAATACTTCAAAAATTTAGGTATAGTAACATATTACAATACTTCAAAAATTTAGGTATAGTAACATATTACAATACTTCAAAAATTTAGGTATAGTAACATATTACAATACTTCAAAAATTTAGGTAATTTAGGTATTGTAACATATTACAATACTTCAAAAATTTAGGTATTGTAACATATTACAATACT